AAAAAAAAAAAAAAATAGATTTCAGCAGAATAACTTCAGGGAGAAAAAATTTATTTTGGCTTACAGTGTCGGTGCACATGGCTTTGTTGTTTCTGGAGCTGTGGTGAGGCAGAGGCAGAGTATCCCGGCTAGGAGGTATGGCAGAGTAAAGCTGCTCACCTCATGGCAGCCAGAAAGCAAAGTGAGAGAAGGGGCCAAGGACAGGATATACCCTTCAAGGACCTGCCCTCAGTTACCTACATTCTCTAACTAGGCCACACCTCTTGATGTTTCCACCACCTCTTCCTAGTGCCACCAGCTGGAGACCATGCCTTTAGGGGACATTCTTGATCCAAACTTTTAACACTATGAGATTCCATTTATATAAAGTTCTAGAATCTACAAACCAGTCATGACAGAAATATGATTGCCTCAAGGAAGGAGTAGCAGGATTACAAAGAGAAGAAGGAAACTTCGTGGTTGTATGCAAATGTCCAAACTTACCAAGTCAGATGCAAGTATCTATGAAACATATTTATGTTTCACTAAAGCTGTCTGTAAAAGTAATTGATCAGAAAGGAAGGATTTGCCCTGTTTCTCAAGAACAGTGTGCTATCCTATTGAACCTCAAGTTGTTTCCAGTTTTACAATTATGAAAACTTTTATCTGTGCTTTCCAACACCTTGCCACATGTAGTCAGGGAGCACTTGCACTATGGCCAGTGTGACCAGGGATGTGAATTTGACATCTTCCTTAATTTAAACTTAAATGGCTGCATGTGACTAACACCTACTATATTAGACAATACAGCTCTTCGGCTCCACCTACAGAGTTGAAAGAGAGTAAGAGAATAATTCCTTGGCAGCCAAATTTAGGACTTAGGAGTTTGTGTTCCATGAGCTCACACTCTAAAGACCTTGAGAGTTCAGTGATAGTAGGAAAAAGGGTTCTCGAAGATTCCTTTCTGTAACAGCAATCACGGTGAACAGGAGTCCCATAGACTCATGGATTTTCAATAGTTGGCATGTAGAAATGAACAAAAGGCAATTTCAAAGGATTTGGAAAATGGCCAAACCTAAAAGGTTTTTAACAGTGTCTGTTTTTTCCCCTGAGTAAATGAGAGTTAGTGAGGTCTTCTACTGGGTATCAATGGGACTTAGTCTTTAAAAATAAAATAGTATTCTAAGTTTATATATTCTAAATTTATATATTACTTTGTGAGTATACAGCATCTAACAGTAGCAAGGGGGAGAGACCCCTCAAATACAAGAAATGTTTAAATACTTCTTATTGCTAGTATTTAAAAGTCACAATGTGCCAAGGGCTATGGCACACACTTATTATCCCAGTGTCTTGGGAGACTGAGACAGGAGAATTCCAAGATCAAAGCCAGCCTCAACAACTTAACAAGACCCTAAGCAACTTAGCAAGACCTGTCTCAAAATAAAGAATAAAAGGGCTGGGGATGTGATTCAGTGGTACAGTGCTCCTGGATTCAATCCTTGGTAAGCCCCAACCCCCCAAAAAGTTACAATGTGTTATAGTGCACTCTGTGGGAAATTTAAGCGCATTTACTGAACTTGTTTCTGTTGCATTTCCATCTTGTTATTATTTTCTTTGCTGCTAAGCTAAGCCACTTTCTCCTCCTCTGGTTTTAGAATGCTGGAAGAAAAAGAGGAGCCAGGCTTCCTCACTGGCCTAAAGATTCCCGCCCCCTGGGCTGCTGGGAAAACCGTGGAAACAGTACACCCTGTCAGAGACAACTACAAGTTTAAAGAAACTGTCCATATCCCAGGAGCTCGCTGCCTGTATCTGAGATTTGATAGCAGATGCTCTTCACAATATGACTATGACAAAGTAAGCAAGCATTGGGTTCTTGTTGCTTCTGCCTAAGCTGATTTTTTTTTTTAGATGCTTCTTATTTTTCTTTGCTGCTGGTCACCATTCCTGACTTATTTCTGTCTCCAGATATCTTTTAGGAAGACTTTCCTAAAATAATGCCTTGAAGGGTAGTGATTGAGGGACTTAAGCGCCATCACCTCTGCAGCCTAACAACAGTGTTTTAATGGCAAGTTGAAAGCATACCTTTGTAAGCTTTCGGAAGCTTCACTCTGAGTCAAAGGGAAATTTCCTTTTATTCTGCTGACTTCCTGCCTTCCCTCTGTGCTTGGGATTCCTATAGATACCTTATGGTCATTCATCTGGAAAGGTCTTACTGCCCCATTCTTGGGGCTTCTCATGCATCTTTTTGGAAAAGGTGGAAGGGAATCAGATGTATTAAAGCTTTCTTTTATGTGTATTTACATTTTTGTTCTTCTTTGCTATTACTTCAGAGCCCACATAGATTTTGCAGAAGAGTAGTCCAACTTGGTGGTTTTACTGTTGCAAAGAATAGGAATTGCATTAGGGGTATTTTCTTCTATTGATAATTGTTTATTTATAAATCATGTTGAACTTCTGAGGAAAGGCTAATGAAACTAAGATAATATGAAAGAGCAACTAGATGATTAATAGCTTTGTACACACAAAATAACTGTCTACACGCTATTTTTATGTAGCTGGTTAGCTGTGTGTCATCTCTGTCCTCTGTGAATTCAGAGAGGACATGTGGTCTTAAATTCCACCAGGGGAGGTTTTTAGGTTAAATAAAGGCTTTCCTAACTATACTTGCCTTGAAGTGGTAAAACACATGACTGGGATTATTGATTCCCCACTACCTTTTAGTATAGTCAGGAGTCCCAGATGTCTGGAGGAGTTTAAGACTTCTCTCCAGAATTCACCTTAGCTGGGAGCAAGAAGCAAGAACATGGGTTTTGGTGGACCTTTCAAAATACATATCCCCTAGCATCAGTCTAGCCTGCTTCCTGGCTCCTGCCGTTAGCTACCCCCATTTCCTAGGTTTAAGTGAAGTGATTATTTAAAGTGCAAATGGAAGAGGTTGCCATTTTAGTTGGTGTCATTTTGTTTCTCCTTTAAAAATAGTAGTTTGCATCTTCTGATGTGCGCTAATTCATGCCCGCAGTGGACATTAGTGTTAGTGATGGAGCACGAAAGGCTTACTACATGGGTAAAAAGTACATTTACTTTTCTAGAGGTCCCTGGCTGGGGTCAGCAAAAGGGTAAGAAATCACAAAACGATAAACATCCAGGGCTAAAGACGCAGCTTTTAGATACAAACCTGGGTGCAGTGTAGGTAATCAGAGTGTACTGTGGGGACAGGGCTTGGTGTTGACAGAAGCCAGAGCTTTGTTTCTCCTGTGGAATTGTTGCAATGCCAAATGAGCTATCAGAGTTTCTCCTCCAGATTAGGAAGTCAGCCAGCTGGACATTAATGTGCAGCCTGTAAGGAAAAAAAGTCTTTGACACATGTAAGCTGACCTAAGAAGCAGCAGCCCCGTTTCTGGCCCAAATTTGTGTCATTTTCCTTTTATGCCATTAAGCAGCATTCTAATTATATATGGCTTATTTTCAATATGTTGCATTTTTTAAAATCCTATGTATTCATTGATTTTTTTAATGTTTTTATTTTGTTGTTATGTTAGATATTATCATCTTTCCATCTGTATTTGCTCAGTTTATTAATTTTGGGGAGGTCTTAAGGGGTCAAACTGTACCTATTATTAATGAGTTATATATTAATAATTAGGATTAAAAATAGCATTTGAAAAATGTATATGGATAAAAAAATTTAATATTTTAATGGAGATTCCCAAGCCAATTAAAGTGTGATAATATAAAAAAGTATATTTTTATGTTAATCATTGTTATTTCTCTGTGATTTTCCTGTAATACCAATGACTGACTGCTTTGACAGTAGTATCAGTTATAGCCAAAAAAATCAGGAAATATTAGTTATATTATGACACCAGTGCCTGGTTTATAAATGTGTTTTTAAACAAATATTTTTTGCAGCCTTTTTATTTGTAGATGTTGTTTTTGTTTTTCTTTTACAGTCTAACAGTCTATTTTCTGTTTTGAAGTTGGTGATATATGCGGGGCCTAACACAAACAGTAGGAAGGTTGCTGAATATGGAGGCAATACTCTGGGATATGGCAGCCGTAGTGTCTTAGGAACTGGTTGGCCGAAGGACTTGGTGAAGGTATGGTATCCAGTTATGGTCACTTTCTCGAAAAGAAAAGTGAACCTAAGTTCCTCAGGGACCCAAATGCCAACTATAGTCCTAGAACACATTTGTCATGGGGACTTTTGTTGAGGTGGGACCTTGCCAAACCTGTCAACTCATCCATTTCCCTTCAGAATGATCCTCCTTTCACTTATAGGATATCAGATCCCTGTCCACTCCAGAGCTGGGATCCCTTCCTCAGATCTCTCCATGGATGGAGGTTGTCATGGCATTTTCTTCCATGTTCATTAAAAGGTCTGCTAGTTCCCCAGACTTCCTGATGCTGAGTAGCCAGAACCACAGGCCACTGCAGTTTAAAAGTGTAGAGTTAATGTTTTCAAACGAATTAGGGCCTTTGGAGAAAAATAATGGCCCATTCTCAAATTGATGCGATTAGGGCCATGCTTTGTAATCTGGGCCCTTGAATTACTTATTAGTATGTGCCTAGAATGTGAATATGAACTCAGAAGTCCATCAAACCCCAAAATGTCTCCCAAGTCTGTTTCTAATCCCTTATTGACAAATATTATGTACCCTTGTAACTCAGCCAGAGACAGCTGATGATCTCCAGGATGTAGTCTGGTTGCACTCAAATCCGGATCAGCACCCTTCGTGGTTGCTCTCTAATTCACTGCCTCTGCTCCTTACTTATGGAACTGGTTCCCTATCACAGAGCCAGGCCTCCCACCACAGAGTTCTTCAGGAGAGCTTGTCATCTGCCTGCCTTCTTGACCCAGTGAAGTGGGGAAGAGGCAAAAAGAGAGCAGAAAGAATAGAAATATGAGAAACTCATTAGGATTATGCTCAAGATTTGACTAATCTTTACTCTGAGCCTACTGTTGGGCAGTCATAGCCCATTTCACAGATGCCTTGTCCCTAAGGCTGCTTGGTCAGAAGGGACACTTAAAAGGTTGACGTCTAAATGAGAGGGAATGAAATTTGAATCAAAAAGCAAGTGAGAAAAGGAGTGAGACATTTCTGTGGTCCTTTGGAAAGTAAATCTCTAACATTCATTGCTCTCTTGAAAGTTATATGTCTTGTTTTTAAAGTGTATTTTCCCCCCTTAAATTTTAAGGTGGAAGGAGATACAGTCACCTTCTCCTTTGAAATGAGAAGTGGCCGTGAACACAACACTCCTGATAAAGCTATGTGGGGCTTTGCGTGCACAGTTCGCGCTCAGGTACTTGAACCTAACCGCTGCTGTGGGAAAAATGTACTTTCTCCTATATGCCTTGATTACATACATCATATTTGCCTTGGAAACAGGGCCGCTTTCCATCCATCTCTTCCATCTGCCTGTAGTAAATTGCTATTAGTAATAGTTTTATGGAGTAAAATGAACTGTGACTTAAAATCAGTTCAGCAACACAGAAATAATTCATAGCCAGGGGCTCCATCTTCAAGACTTGGAGAGGTGCCCTAACTCTGGCATCTGCTCATAGGGCAAAGAAGATTCCAACACTCAGTAGAAAGGAAGTACTTGGGTTCTGTGTTTTAAGAGTAATAGGGGAGGGGCTGGGGATGTACTTGCTAGCATGTGTGAGACACTGGGTTCCATACCCAGCACCATATAAAAATGAACAAATAAAATATAGGTATTGTGTCCATCTACAACTGAAAAAAACTTAAAGAAAAATAAAGGTAATAGGAGTTCCACTGAGCCCTTTAGTTGCTGAATTTAAAAAAATATATTTTGACTAGGAAGTTGCTTAAGTCAAACACTCTCTAGAGGGGAACTGTTTGCTAGAATGTAAGCTTCATGAAGACAGGGATCTTTGTTTTGCCCTGTGCTGTATCTCAGGCACCTAGAAGAAGAGCTGTACACCCAAGGCCCTCAAACATTTTCTAATGAACTCAGTACAGTCACTGTAAGCATTGTGGTTTGAGCACAGGACTGAGATGACAAAAAGAAATAGTGATTTGTGAGTGGAAGGGCACAGCAGGGAGGGAGCTACTGAGACAATCTGGGCTCCTTGCACATGGTTCATGCTGTTTGTGATATGCAGTCCTGTCAGCTATTCTCTCTCCAGAATTGTGATGCAACCTCACTCAGAGGTCATTCCAGTATGGCCACCTACTGTCGATGTTGGGTGCTGGACTTGGGTACCATAGGGATGACACCCAGTGCCGCTCTGTGAATCCCCATGGTAGGGATGGTGCAGACCAGGTTGCAAGCTCTGTCGGTGTCCACTGACCAGTGTGGTTTGCCTGTCTGCATTGTAGGAGTCCTCGGAGGACGTCTCAGGAGGCCTGCCCTTTCTGGTGGACCTGGCTTTAGGTCTGTCTGTGTTAGCTTGTTCCATGTTAAGAATCCTGTACAATGGACCAGAAATTACCAAAGAAGAGGAAGCCTGTCAGGAGCTTTTGCGGTCCAAACTTTTACAAAGGTAATGAAAAGGTTCAAATTGAGCTTGTTTTGCCCACAAAGAAAAAAGAACTTTATGTGGAAAACGACTTTTTATACATTTCTCTACTAATTGTGCCTATGGCCTGACCATCTCATTGGTTTTGGGTCTGAGGAATAAGAAAATTACACAATGGTGCTTTCTGACCCTTGCATTACTAAATTTAAATTTATGTCTTTGAACTGCCTAAGTTTTTTTTCCAATGCAAATAGTGTGACATTAAATTGAGGGATCCCCAAAAGGATGGGTAGATACATGATAAACCAATATGATAGTGTAAATTGTAGAATCTAGGCAGTTGATATGTGGATATTTACCCTGTAATTCTTTCAATTTTTCTGTATGTTTAAAGTTTCAGAATAAAATGTTGGGGAGGAGGTAAATTCGCAAAAATGTGCTTTCATACATTGCTCATTTTTCTTTAGCCTCTTGAGAAGGTTTGATGAATAAATATCTAACACATCAGCTCCTTCATATGTTGATATATCTGCAAGCAGCAAGTAGCTTTCTAGTAATCTTGATCTGAGAGCATGAAGAGCCTCTTTATTGTCTGCCTAGGTGCCAGTGGCAGGTGGAGGCCAATGGCGTCATCTCGCCTGCCCTCACCCCAAGCCCCTCTCCACTGCCTCTGACCATAGAGGAAGACCGAGAGTTCACCTACCCCTCAGATGTCCTCGTGCCTCCTGTTGGGAACTACTTTGACCTGCCCCGGATCCGGCTGCCTCCAGGAATCATGATAAAGCTCAGGGAAATTTCTGGGCGAGCTAGACCTCAATTTAGACCAAGTATAAAGTATGTTGCATTTTTCTCTCCCCAATAAAAAAAAAAAAAAAAAAAAAAAAAAAAAAAATCAACCATTTGGACTATGGAAGGGGTTATATTTCTTCTCCTGGTCTAGCAAATGAATCTTAAATTGTATGTTAACTTAGGGCTGGGGGTGTAGCTCAGTGATAGAGCACTTGCCTAGCATGCACAGGGCCCTGGATTTGATATCCTGCTCTACCAAGAAAAAAAAAATTTTTTTAAATGTTATGTTGATGTGAACTGAGAACTCCGGAGAGCTCACCCCACCAGGTAGTATTCTAGTTTGTGATTTTTCAAAGTGATCTGCAGCATTAGCATCACCTAGGAATTTGTTGGTGGTTGGGTCTCTTTTTCACACCTACTGAGTCAGAAACTCTGAGGATGGAGCCCAGTTAACTGTTTCTTAACAGGTTTCCCATGTGACTCATGAACACTAAAATTTGGCAAGTTCTAGGTTTTTCTCTGGTAGTTTGACCTTCTACTAGTACTCAGCCCCTACTTTGATTAGAGTCTAGAGCCATGTCTTCATTTTTTAAAAAATATTTTTTTAGTTGTTGATGGGCATTTATTTTATTCATTTATTTATATGCAGTGCTGAGAATTAAACTGAGTGCCTCACACATGCGAGGCAAGCGCGCTACCACTGAGCCATGACCCCAGCCCCATGTCTTCATTTTTGATTCCTGCAAAAGTGGCAAGCATGAGGGGCTGGGGTTGTGGCTCAGCAGTAGCATGTGTGAGGTCATGGGTTTGATCCTCATCACCACATAAAAATAAGTAAATAAAATAAGGTATTAAAAAAAAAAAAGTAGCAAGCATGAAGGCTCGCAGTTTCAAATGTATTTGTGGTGTTCTTGTTTTATGTCTGTTTTGCAGCCTTTGGCCTGCCTTCCTAGGCAAGACTGGCCACTTCTGAGACAAAAATTTAGAATGGTTGAAATTCAAAATGAATACAGAAAACACTATTATTTTTATTCTAAATATCCATATGCATTAAATATCACAATTCTTAGTACTACGTAATATTAATTAGTAGCTAAATGATTCTAAGGATCTTTTTTTATCCTTAGACCTATTCCAATTCCGATGACTCTAGCTCAAAATATACAAATCATAATAAGGGGAAGCATCTTTAATTTTGATTTTTCAGCTTTATTGGCTAATAAAACTGAGTTTTATCAGTGAATATGCTGTATTACCTGTCAACATACAGCCCCACAATGCACCATTGATACACATGTAATATTGTAATAAAGGAAATATGCCAAATATTTAATGTGTTTAAATCAATTCCTGCATTCTTCAGCATACAAAGTACAGTACTAGTAAATTGAGAGCCTGGAAAATACCTGACTCACATCCATTGTAATCCCAGGGAAGTGATTCAGCCAGATGTGATGGAGGAAATGGTGGTATCATGTGTTATTAAGCACTTGAACTTGGTCGATGCACTGCAATCCCTAATAAATTTCCAATATCAAGAAGAACATGCTGAGGAATATGACTTACTATGTAAAATTATGGGAGAGACCTTTAAGAAACTCAATGCCATGGAGAGACAGCTGCAGGTAAGTGAAAGCTAAGATGTTTTTACCCATCTTAAAACTATTAGAAGTAACTTTCCTGGAAAGTTAGAGAAGTTTGAAACAGGATAAAACATTTTTAAATTACTGTTACAAAATCAATGTCTGAAGTTGCATATTGCCTTTGTTTTCATTTTGCTTCTGTTCACCCACTGTTTTATTTTTGTCTCTGTTAGAGTGTTGCAGAACTGGAACAGAAGTGGCAAAGTGAGGTTGATGATGCCATGCAGGGGAAACTGGAGAACAACATGCCTTTCTTTTATGATTACCATTTTAATGAGGTGAGCAAAGGATGTGATTTACCATTGGGGCTTTGCCATTATGAAAGAGAGGCATAGCCATGTGTGTGCAGAGATAGTGTCACTTTCTGAACATGCCAGGAATGCACTCATTCTTTAAAAGGATCAAATGAAAATTGATTAGAACAACATGTCAATAGTCATGTCGATATATAAATAATTATTTTCAATTAGTTTTAAAGTTTAAAGAAATGATCATTATTATCAAAATTTTCTTTCAAGTCTTGAAAAACAAAACACAAGCAGAGTAATAATCCCCAGAGAAATCCTCAGAAAGCAACCCATGTCATTTTTAACCATTAGAATATCAAACAATAACTTACAAATGTGCTTTAAGAATAGACCTATGGGGGCTGGGGTTGTGGCTCTGTGGTAGTGCACTTGCCTTGCACATGTGAGGTACTGATTTGATCCTCAGTGCCACATAAAAACAAATAAATAAAGATATAAAGATATTGTGTCCATCTACAACTAAAAAAATATTTGAAAAACAAAAAAGAGTAGAACTATGGACCAAAGGTGGTAGTTATTCCCTGACCTTTTCTGTTCCTTTTAACAATAAAACTTGGTTTCTGCAGATCTGCATACCATCTTTTCTTGATTTTTCCTTCTTTAGAACAAAATGAAAGAACTAGAACTTTTGTGTTCAATGAAGGAAGTCTCCTTTGATGGAAATGATCTTGAAAACATGGTCCTATCACTGAGGTTAGTGATGTTAATAACTATTAAAACTAATTTATCACCTTGATGCTCAAAACAAATTGTGAAGATCTAGTCTTTTGATAGATTCTTTTGTAAATGTCATACAGTCCTCAAATATTTGAGAGTTGGAACTCATTTGGTAAACTGGAAGTTTTGATTTAAACCTTCAAAAGGCAGCATAGGCTTTGAGAACAGGAAGGGGAACTAAAAGTGATCAGAGTTTATAGTCACTCCCTTTGGATACAGAAAGGGGTGGGTAAGCAATGTTGATGAGGTTTGTTTTGCTTAGTTTCCTCCCATCTTCTCTGTCATTTTAATAAAACATGGTTTTGGTAAGCTAGAGGACTAAGTGCACATCAGTCTTTCTTTATAGGGAGAAGTTCCTACAAGAAGTGAATTCTCTTATTCAGAAGCCCTCTCATCCACTGGCTAAAACGAAGACATTAGTGAAGAGTCTAATGAACCGCGCTGAGCTGCTGCTGCATGTCACCATTGCGGCCCAGTCTGGCCTCACCAGGAGCATCTCGGGAACCCCTGCAGAGACACCGGGTACTCTCTAAGACCCCTTCACGTCTTCTGGTGCCACTGTGCTTATAATGTAGATATCAGCAACTTTGTCAAGAATTCACTCCAGGGTACTCCTAGAAAGAAAGAAACAAACAAAGGGGGGCAAAGGATTATACAGGTGTTGGAGAGAGACGTGTACTGAGTGTTGGTATGATCACATGCCAAGGAGGTCCAGTATACTTACCACTTCCTGGCCATGTACACCTAGATTGATTGAGGTTTCTGTGTGAAGACCTGAACCACTCAGTAAGGCTTCCAAACGGCTCTTGACCTCTGAAATGGTGAACCAGTAGTATCTTCAAGACTTGAAAGATAGAATTCTATAAATTTAATTCTTCAAGAATTATTAGATTTAAGTTTTCTAACTACTCTTTAGACAAAATGACATTTCCACTTTTTCAACATTGTTTTTTCTTAGCTGGTTTTTACCTATAGTTTTGTCCTCTTCCATTTACATGTTCTTTTATAAAACAACCACTTCCTTGATATGGTTAAGGAATATCCAATAGATAGGGTCAGTCCCCTTCCAGCTCAAGTATGATATTTACTCCTATCAACTATAATCAAAGGAGAGCAATCACCCAATGGCAATTAATAAATCTAGAATTAAAAGGAGACAAGGGCCATCTCTGGAAACAATGTATCTGGATTTATTTGAATCAAGAAATTAGTGCTGGGCTGGGGATGTGGCTCAAGCGGTAGCGCGCCCGCCTGGCATGCGTGTGGCCCGGGTTCGATCCTCAGCACCACATACAAACAAAGATGTTGTGTCCACTGAAAAATTAAAAAAAAAAAAATTAAAATTAAAAAAAAAAGAAATTAGTGCTTCCAGAAGTTACTCCCTGTGTCCTATATTGCTTTTTATAATGTTTGTACTGAAAAGAACATTGATAGTTACAAAATAAATTGGCCTAAAACTCATCAGTGCTGTGCTAACTGGACTGATGGCTGAGCCCATTGCCAAACACCATTTGGTAGTTCTGTGTTACATTTAGCTGTTGCAGCTTCTCACACATTGGATAGCAGGAAGTTTAACCTTGTCCTCTTTTTGTTCCAGCTTGTAAATCAGCTTCTGAAACAAAGGTGATATCTCATGCCGTCCGGCAGCCTGTTTTTCTCCGTAGTATGTCGGCTCCTTCTGACCTAGAAATGATTGGTAATGAAGATTTGGAATTTACTAGAGCAAATCAGAGGTAAATGGCTAATGGCCAGGGTTGGATTCCCACATGCTGCTGAATGTGTTGATTGAAACAACACCCCCTCCCCCTCCCCACCACGTATCTTGTTTGATCAATGGCTGGTTTGTCTCTCCTGTAGGCGTCGACATGTGACCAGCCACCGCAGCAGCTCCTTTACACTCCTGCAATCGTTGGCCATTGAGGACAGCAGGGACAAGCCCACCTATAGCGTCCTGCTGGGGCAGCTGTTTGCTTTCATTGGCACCAATCCCGACCAAGCTGTATGTCACATTTTGCAGACTACAGATGAAAAGTTCCTGACAGCGCGGAGGGTCTTGTGACAGCAGGAGTCAGTGTTCTTCCTTCTCGTGCCTTTCAGGTGTCCAGCAGCAGCTTCCTTCTTGCTGCACAGACGAGGTGGCGGAGGGGAAACACACGCAAGCAGGCCCTGGTGCACATGCGAGAGCTGCTCACGGCTGCCGTGCGCGTTGGGGGAGTGACACATCTTGTGGGGCCAGTGACCATGGTCCTCCAGGGAGGACCCAGGTCAGTTGTTTCTGTTAATAAATGGCAGTTAATAAACCTAGGATTAAAAGGAGACAAAGGCCGTCTCTGGAAACAGTGGATCTGAATTTATTTGAATCAAGAAACTAGTGTCCTCTCCAGAATGGGCAGAGCTATTCAAAGGTCACTGTCAGGCTGAGAACATAGGCAGTGGCATTTGCTGATGTTTTCCCCTAGAATATTCTATTTTTATAGACATGGCACTTGATTTTGCAAAAATCTCAGTATATATAACAGAATGTAAGTGTCTATGTGTTATTCTATTCGGTGAGAGTTTGTTGTATCAATACTACATGTATAAATGGCTATTTAATTCTCTTTGCACATATAAGAGTATATCATTTTTTCCATAAGTCAGATCGTATTCTATATGCCTTTCTATAATCATGATTGTTTCACTCATATCTTGGTTATCTGTCTTTTCACATCAGTACAATAGGTCTATTTTGTCCCTTTTTTTGGTACTAGGGATTGAACTCAGAGTGTTAACCACTGAGCCACATGCTTAGCAGCCCCCCACTTTTTAGTTGTAGATGGACACAATACCTTTATTTATTTACTTTTATGTAGTACTGAAGATCAAACCCAGTGCCTCACACATGCAAGACAAGCATGCTACCATTGAGCTACCCTAGTCCCCCCAACCCTTTTTATTTTTTTATTTTGGGCCAGGGTATCAATAAGTTGTGGAGGCTGGCCTCAAATTTGCAATTCTCCTGCCTCAGTTTCCCAAGTCTCTGGGATTACGGAGTGCACCACTGTGTCTGGCTAGAAGGGTTTTTTTTGTTGTTGTTGCTTGTTTGTTTTAGAGGGTACTGGGGATTCAACTCTGGAGCACTTGGCCACTGAGCCACATCCTCAGCCCTACTTTGTATTTTATTTAGAGACAGGGTCTCACTGAGTTGCTTAGCACCTTACTTTTGCTGAGGTTGGCTTTGAACTCATGATCCTCCTATCTCAGCCTCCTGAGCCACTGGGATTACAGGTGTGCACCACTATGCCCAGCTAGAAGAAGGTTTTGTAGCTCTTTTGGGAAGAGTTTTTCTGTATGAGTTTCCTGCTGGGCTTCAAAGATCCTCAAGTAGAAATAGAAAAGGCATTTCTCTACTTGTCCTGAATTAGGATTGCTGGTGGCTGCTTATGCCTCCTGGCAATTCTTTGAGGAACTGTGGACAACAGGAGAGGGTCAGGTAGAGAAAGATGTGTTAACTAAGAGTTAAAGTGAATATCTTGGGAAATTTCTTGTCGATTGGAAGAGGCCAGGCAATTCACTACTTCCTGGCTCGTGGTCATCAGGTAGCCACAGAGACCACAGTCCTGAGAGCAGTTGTTTCCTTGTCAGAGCTCTGGCTCATCATCTCTACTGGCCACAAGCCCTCTCAGCCCTGGGGTGCCCAGAGGGAGGATTCAGGGAGGAGCACTGGTGGGCACCACAGCTGCTTCCAGAGTTAGTTCTCTATAACACAGCAGCATTCTCCTTTCTCTACCCCATTTTCAGTGTCATTTGTAGAATATATGAAAAATGCAGAAATTTCTAAAAATTAAAATAAAAGCCACCTGTAAATCCATCATTCTAAAATAACATCTGCTAATATTTTAGTGTGTTTGTTCTTTGTTCTGTCAGTATCATCTCTGATGTTTTGGGGGATTGTGTAGCATTGCATCATATTCTTTAACCAATTCCCTATTATTAAACCTCACCTTAGTTTTACTTTTTAAAATTTTTGCTAGCATAAAATATTATATTGCATATTTTTGAAGATAAATCCAGATTGCTTCAGTTCTCAGTTAATATTAATTTCTGTAGAATTGATCCCATCTTGAGTTTTTACTTTTGAAAGTCTTATTTCACATCAACAGGCATCCCATACCCTGCTAACAGTTGAAGTATAAACTTTTTTTGGGGGGGTACCAGGGATTAAAATCAGGGGTACTCAACTACTGGGCCACATTCCCAGTTCTATTTTGTATTTTATTTAGGGAACAGGGTCTCACTGAGTTGCTTAGTGCCTTGCTTTTGCTGAGGCTGGCTTTTAACTTGCAATCCTCCTGCCTCAGCCTCCTGAGCCGCTGGGATTTCAGGCTGTACCACCGTGCTCATCTGAAGTATAAACTTGAAAAAGACTCTTAGCTAATCTATCTGGGCCTTGGTTTTCTCATACAATTGCATTTATAGAATTCATGCTGCATGGGATGTTGTGGACTTATCTCTAATAATGGTTTCTTTATCAAATGGCTTTGGTAAATATTGAATACTATTTTTCTGCTCTTAGAGATGCTGTGTCCTTTAAATTTATTAGAAGTTCTGCAGTAAAGGACCCTATTGAACTTTCTCTAAGCCAGGGTTTCCTGGAGTTTTCTTGAGTGTGGGCCATGATGTTTGAGGCACATTCAGAAATCTTGACCAGTGGTCTTCTATGGTCCAGTAGTTTATCAAACACCAAGTTTGATGATCTCCAAGGTCCCTTCAGTTCTGGATTTATCTGGGCATTCTGGGTTTCTGGAAAGAACTCTTTTGCTCCCCTAACCCCAGTCACTGTTCTCGACATGTTCAGGAACGCTATCCTTGGTTTCTGTGTCACAGGATTGAAGAGCTCACCTGTGGTGGGATGGTCGAGCAGGTTCAGGAAGCCTTTGGCGAAACCATGACTTCGGTCGTGTCGCTGTGTGCCCGTTACCCTATCGCTTGTGCAAATAGCATTGGACTCTTGTGTACTATACCTTACACCAGGTAAGCATGGAAATGCCCTTTATTCCTTTATTGTATATAAATTGTGCCATAAGAGTTTATTAAATAAAAATTTATAAAATTGAATTTATAAAATTGAATTTTTTATTTGATTATTCAATACTTAACAAATAAGTTTTCCTCCTGACACACAAATAAAGTTCCTATGTAAATTCCTTATGATTGAGTTTCTGCCATTAGGATTATATTACATTATAAAGATAGGGAGGTTCAAATAAAAAAAATAAGTCCTTGGGAAATTACTTATACACTTGGCAGGATTCTATTTTTTTTTTTTCCTCCTTTGGGAGGTGGTGGCTACTGTTCTTGAACTTGCAGTCCTCCTGCCTCAGCCTCCTCAGTCAGTGAGATTACAGGCATGGACCACCACACTGGCAGGAATTTTTTGGATAGATGCATTTATTTCCTCTCTTGGATCATATAGTAGTTTGAAGACGTCAAGTGCTTATGGAGTTATTCTTTGACTCCCCTTATGATAAAATATATTATTTTTTTCTCTCATGGCATCCATTGTATTGATTCCATCAAGTTTTGCTTTGCTGTTCTGTATGAACAAATGAGAATTTGAAGTTCCTTATTTAGGAAGGAAGTCACCATTATGAGAAAATAGTTCTGTGTTAATTGCACATGGCACTGTCCTCAGTTGTTGACAAAGAATTACACCAACCTGTGTCATGCACCTTTGATAATCTGAACTTCCTGCGAGTTTCCCTCAGTTGGTCAGCTGCGTCTCCTTCACTGTGTCTATGCCCCTTATCAGGAGTGAAGAGAAGTGCCTGGTGCGCAGTGGCCTTGTCCAGCTCATGGATCGACTGTGCAGCTTGAGCAGTCAGACCGAGTCCAGCTCCAGTGAGAAACAAACCAAGAAGCAGAAAGTGGCCACCATGGCCTGGGCTGCCTTCCAGGTGCTGGCCAACCGCTGTGTCGAGTGGGAAAAAGAGGAAGGTGAGAAACTTCCTACTCACCAGTTTCTTGTGTTGGTGAATTGTGTGTTGTGTGTGCGTGTGTGCTGGATGGGGCTTGGGAGAAAGGCTTTGTTAAATCACAGGACTGGATGGGCTTTCATGGAGGCCTTTCCGCAGCACGGCTCTGTGAAATACAACTGTGCTGTAGCACCAAGTGACATCCTAGCACTTTCAAGAGGTGTGGCAACCCCAGAAAATTGAAAGGATAATTGTCAACACTGTTAACAGGCCCTATGTAGACAGGTTTATGAAATAGCTGTTCAGTTGCATTTTTAAGAGGATATTTTGAAATTATATTTTTAGTGACCAATCTGATTTAAAAAGTAAATGTAAGGATGAATTCCCCACAGTATCCCAGGTCTTTTTTTTTTTTTTTTTAATAGAACTTGTTGATTTATCTGTTTATTTGCTGTGCATTTTAATGACTTGAGAGCTTATTATATGCCAGCAGAAGATGAATCAGGCATTGTTCCTCCCTTGAAGAACTTTGGTCTGACAGAGGAAATAGTGCAATCAATGCCATCATCAGGTTCTTACACAAGTGCTGTGGAAGCACAGAGGCTTCTAGAGATGAGCTGTGCTAGGTATCAGGCAAAGCTTCCCAGAGGAGGTGATGTGTGAGCAACTCCTGAAGGATCAGGAGGACTTGGAAGCATAATAAACAGCATTTGGAGGCTCAGGGATCCAAAAGCATATGGGAAATTCAAGAAATGATGAATAATAGTTTGTAGCTTTTACAAAGGATGTTTAACGAGTTTTGGAAGTACAGTGAGCCTGATGCAGGAATGAACCACAGAGAGTTTGAGAAGAGGAAAGTATGACTTAAAAACAACAACAACAACAAAAAAATAAGATGTTTTGCCAGGTGTGGTGTGGGGTATGCCTGTGATCCCATCGACTCAGGTGGCTGAGGCAGGCAGATCACAAATTCAAGGCCAGTCTCAGCAATTTAGACCCTGTCCCAAAGTAAAAAGTTAAAGGGGCTGAGTTTGAAGCTTAGTGGTAAAGCATCCCTGGGTTCAATCCTACATACCAAAAAGGAGCAGGAGGGGATCAAGATGTTTTCATCACCAGTAAAACAGTAATTCTTCCCTGGAGTGCATGTTCCTTTGTCATATTTGGATTAATTGTATTTGGTTTTCAATAAGAACACTGGATGTTTTTGGAGTAACTTAACTTTTTTATGTATATATATTGTCTAATGAGGAGACACTGATTGGATTAGTGAGGTGTTGAGCCAGGTAAAGAACATTTAGTCAAGGGAAGAGCTTTTAATACAGGAGGCCAAGAGGAGGACTTACCACACCCTCAGGCTCATCATGGCTTCCTTGAGTTGTCACTGTGCCTTTTCTCTTTCTTTTTACCTCTGAAGGTGGCTCCACAGAGGCTGTGCACTCGGGGCTGGCTCGGCAGGTGTCCAGCCTTCTCACGAATCATCTTGCCCGAGCCACTGAGTGCTGTGGCAACCAGGCTGCAGGAAATGATGCTCTGCAGGATGTCCTGAGTCTGCTCAACGACCTCTCGAGGTGTGGAAGGTCCATCCAGAGCTGGGGGCACCTGACTTTTCCCTTGAATAGTTGCAGTGCCTTTTGGTGGTGGTTCTTTTGAGATATTCAGATTATTACACCCTTTCCATAAGGTCTTGCTTCAAGATTGATCATGAAATAATGTATTCTGGTTGGCTTTAGTATAGCTAATAGCCATTAGCCTTTCGAATACATGCATTTATGTTTCATAGCCAAAACTCTTACCCTCGTCAGTGCAAGATTAAAGAATCATGAGTCAGAGCATGTAATTAGCTCACTTTCTCATACTGTGTCTTTAAAACAAGCAGTTCTATGGTGGTTGACTACCCCATGTGAGTAAGGCCTATAAGAATTTGTCCACCTGTGACTGCATGTTCTTTGATGCTGAGCTCACTGTTTGCTTCGTGGAATGTAACATGGCAGCTCCCCAGGTGTTGGGGCCTGTACGCCACCGTGTGATAATTTTACTCTTGAAATGCTATTAATATGGAATGAATGATGCCAGGTACACATTGGTGGATGCCTGTAATCTCAAGCTTGTACTCGTGGGGCTGAGGCAGGAGAAAGGCAAGTTCAAGGTCAGCCTGGGCAACTTAGCGAGACCTTGTCTCAAAATAAAAAGGGCTTACATTTCATAGCCAAAAATCTTACCCTCGTCAGTGCAAGATTAAAAGAATCATGAGTCAGAGCCTATAATTAGCTTACTTTCTCATACTGTGTCTTTAAAACAAGCAGTTCTATGGTGGTTGACTACCCACTATAGTGTAGCTCAGTGGTAGAGCCTCTCTGGGTTCCATCCCTAGTACTACCACCAAAAAAAGGAATAAATGAGTAACTGAAAGGCTTCTAGTTTAGGTTCCCAGTCTCGGCGTTCTGTGAAGCCCTGAATCTAGGATGTCAATTAAATAGACATCAGAGATCAGAAAATAGTCAAAAATCTTTTTTAAAAAGTCTTATTGGTCAATTATGAGCTCTCATCAAATGTTTACCAAGAAAAAAAAAAAAACCTTAATTTTCCTTCATAAAAGCATACTGCCAAATCATTACATCTTCCTTCTGAAGTCTGATTTCTTCCATTTGCTTAACTTCACTTAGGGAACTCTGGCTCTGCGTGTCTGTAGGTCAGCCTTTCCAGCACTTTGGACCTTTTCTTCTTTCTGCAGGAGCCACATAGGGAAAGCCATCCTGAGCCAGCCAGCTTGTGTGTCCAAGCTCCTCTCCCTGCTGCTTGACCAGCGCCCATCTCCAAAATTGGTCCTTATCATTCTTCAACTGTGCCGGGCGGCACTGCCACTGATGAGCGTAGAGGACTGTGGAAATGTGGAACTCCCGCCATGGAGCTACTCTGTCCCCTCCCTAAATAGTGAGCAGGAGGATCCCAGTGACCCAGCTTCCAAGATCGCCTCCTTGCTCTTAGCAAAGCTGGCAGATTATGTGGTCCCAGGTGAGAAGCTCCCCAGGAGGAGGATGGCACTGATTGCACGCCTCCTGTGAGTCAGGCCCAGGATGGTACCTGAACTTCCTGTGATTAAGAAGAAAGAGCTGGGGGGTGGGAAGCGGGGAGAGATTCCCAAACCAATGTAGCTCATTAAGGGGAAACGATGCTGCTGTTTTCTGAATGGGCCTGTTTTTTGCTTTAAGGATGCCAGACAGTTCTTTCTCCAACTGCTTCTGAACCGGATACCACATTAACAAAAACCAGTCCCAAGAATTCTTTAAAAGGAGATAAAGATCCTGGAGAAGAGAGTGAAGCAGTGGACGGCAAGCTCTCCATATTTATCCACAAACGGGAAGACCAGTCCTCCCACGAAGTTCTTCAACCATTACTAAGGTGATTCTAATGATTATAATGTAGCTATATGTCACCAAGCACTATTCATGCCACAGACAGTGTACTAGAGTAACTCTTCACACACATTGACTACGAAGCCCTCCTAACAGCACCAGCAGACACACACTGTTGCTGTCACCCCTGCAGAGACACGTGGAGAAGTGAGGCAGAACTGACACCTTGACCTCAGGTGGTGTCCGCAGTCTAGCAGAGCTGGAGCCCTGCTGAAAGCGCCTTGCTGTTTGTGTTAGGTGCAGAGTCCATGGCACAACTTGGGTCATGAGGGGCAGTAATACAGTTTGGTTTTCAGTTGTTGGTATCTTTCAGCCATCAGCAAATATAGAGTAAGGTGGAGAAAGAGACACTTTTGTAAAGCTTTACTGAAATGTGAATGTCCCAGCTGCTCAACAAGAAAGTGAAAGCATAGTTATTGCCCAAATGTTACAATCCCATAGTGATCTAGAGTGACAGGAAAGCCTGTCGCTTAGCACAGGGGAATTTAGAACAGGTGTTTGTCTCAGATGAAAGAGCCATCCCTTCACATGAGTGACCTGAGCAGGTTGTCACCCTCATGATTGCACCCCTTCTGCCAGTGCGACAGCCAAGAGAATAGAGGTGTTGTGAGAGCAGGGTCAGGCAGGTCAGTGCTCAGGTGAGCATATCTCTAAGGAGTGTCCGTTTTAGGAGGAAGTGAAGCTGAATTATTAGGAAAGAAGTTTCAGTGTTTCCCCCAGGGAGCCACAGTCTAGCTACTGGTGAAACTTCCCTGCTGTGACTTGGAGGTGACTTTCGGAGTGCCTCCTGGGCACCAGCCCTCCTTGCAGCTAGCTTCAGAGCATCTGCTTCGCTCAGCTTTATTGTTGTGCATCGTTTTCGTGTGGGTGTCTAGATACCATCACAACTCTAAAACAGCTGTTTTTTTGGACTTCAAAAGTGCTATGATTATGCAACAATAAATCAATTCCTTTTTGAAAAATGCAGAGTCTTACTGTAGATTTTAAAAGCCAGGGTTAGCATCTAAGGACAGCCTAAGCATGACGGAGTTGCCTGGCAGCGAGCAGCCGCCTCCAGTAGTGTATCTAAGGCCACTCACTCTCTGCCTTCCCTTTTTCAGTAGCTCAGAAGGGCGGCCCTTCCGACTTGGTACTGGTGCCAACATGGAGAAAGTTGTGAAGATGGATAGAGACATGACCAAGGTAAACCTCGTGGGAGAAACTGCTATAGTAAACCCATGATTAATGAGCATTTGCCATATTTACGAAAACTTTTGTAAAAATTAGTTCTGCCAGGCACAGTGGCTAGTAGCTATCCTCCGAGCTACTTCAGAGACCAATGCAAAAGGACTATGAGTTCAAGGTCAGCCTGGACAACACAGGCAGCATAGTGAGACCCTATCTGAAAAAAAAAAAAATTCAATTTTTCACAAATGCAGGGTAAGAAGTTAAAGCCAGTGGCTTAAGAGGCCATGTTAAAGAGAACAAAGAGAACTCGTGAAGCCTGTAGGTGTGGCTTAGTGTAGAACATGCACTTAGCATGCATAAGGCCCTGGGTTCAATCCCCAATTCCCAGCACACCCCCATCCCCATCAAAAAAAAAAAAAAAAAAAGAAAAGAAAAAAGGCAGAGGTAGAAAATAGTCAAAATCAGTTTGTCATTAATTTAAAAATATAATAGAGAAATGCAATAAAAAATGTAATAGAGAATTCTTGGGTTGACCTATGAGTTTTTATCAGCTTGTTTAAGGTAGTTTTAGAACCTAAAAATAGTTGTAAATTTTATAGAGGTGAAAGGTTGCTAAGACAATAACAGGTATTTAATAATTAAAGACATAAAAATATTTTTTAAATATCCAGACCCCAAAACAATTGAAGGAAAGTAATAAAAGCAACAGTAACATATTACTCTTCACACAGGTAATGTTAGCAAAGTTTGATGGTACCCATTATTCTCAAGTGAGAGTACATAAACATTCTCAAGTGTCCAACAAAAAAACATGTCCATTGCATGTTTTTCAGAGATTTGTTTGAAAAACCAAATAGAGTCCATGTACCCATAAATAGGAGATTGGTTAAAGAAATTCATAATTTGTAAAATAAAATAGTATGCAACTATTAAAATATGTGTGTGGCAAACTGATAAAAGTAAATTGTAAAGGTGTGTGTATTAGGATCCCATGGTTATGGAAGTTGTGATTTGCAGGAACAAAATCTAGAGGACTCACAACTTGCTCAGACTGGGTGAGAGCATGGGATGTTTATGGAAATTTGATATTCTCTGTGTAATATTTGACGTTAGAATTTTTTACAAATGAACCTGCTGGATTACTTTGGTAATAGAGGGGGATTTGGAAGTGCCTAGTGCTTGGGGGTGAAACGAGTTTCTTCAAATCAACCCCCAGGGTGGCTGTTGCGAAGTGATCACAGAAGAGGCTGCAGCCGCCCTTCGGAAAGCCACCAAGTGGGCACAGTCAGGCCTCATCGTCAGCATTGGGCCACCAGTAGAGTCTGTCAATCCAGAGACTGTGAGTGGACTGTCCACAGGTGACAAAAAGAAAACTGCCCAAACCTCCATCTGCAGAGAGAGGAACTCAGAACTCGCCAGGTAAACCTGCCACTGATAGAATCTGTCCATTCGTCTCAGATTGGCTTTGTAATGGGCTTATTTTTCATCCTTTAACCTACTGAAAATGATGGTTGGGGCCTAAAAATACCCATCTATTGTAAAAGTTGCTCTCAAAGTAGAGTCTGGGGCTACATCAAGGAGCAAACCCATTCAGGTAGATCTGAGATTGTCCAATGGAGGCCCAGGGAGTTGCTCCTGATGTAGTGGACATTATGTAGAGAGCCAGGGGATGCTTCAAAATAGGTAATAAACTCCTGTTTTGCAGCGTTTTTTCCTTTCAAACTGGACTTCCCCACTGAACACATGAATTTTTTTTTTTTTTTTTTTTTTTGTAGGAATAGAAGGGATAGGGGAGTATTTCCTCGGAGGAGTTTGTACAAGATGTTTGTACTTGCAAGCAAAGAGTAGCTGCAGCACAGGGTCTTTCTTTGATTCTATGGCTCATGTAATAAAATATTTAAGGTCTGTTGTTTCAAAGTGTCTTATTAGCTTCGTATCACTGTAATGAAATACTTGAAATAGCTAGCTCAATAAGAGAAGAGGTTTACTTAGCTCACAATTTGGAGGTTCAAGGTCATGGTGCTGGCATTATCCCAGTTCTGGGCTATGTCACAACATGACAGATAGTGATGATGGGAGTGTGTGCAGAAATGTGTAACTACAGGTCCAGCCAGGAACAGGGAGAGTAGGGACGGCCAGACTCAGGCTTTTACGACATAAAACCCTCTGAGAGGGTTGTCATGGGAGAAGTGATTTCTTCTTAGTGCTGATTTTGACCACTTTTAACCCTCCTTGGGTATTGACAGTTTTCCCTATTGACATTTGCAGGACTGACCCTGTCCGACCCTTCATCAGTGGGCATGTGGCAAACAGCATGGCTGCAGAAGTGATCGCTTTGCTTCATAGCTTGCTAATGGCACCTGAATCTAATGCGGCTCAAATATGGACCACAACAGCAGAAAAGGTTAGTGTGGCATTGCTGCTTACCTGAGGAGGGAAGAAGGGAGCTACTTTCCACCCCAGCCTTAGAATCACGCACAGCAATGGATGTCTTAGTGAAGAAAGACTTTCCAAGTTAGCCAGATATACAGACTACTTTTCTGCTGGAATTTGCTTTGATTTAGCAGTTTCTACTCTGTTAAACTCTGTCTCCTGAGATTGCTGGCTCAGGATAGTTTCTCATGGAGAAATGGCAGTGCCTATTCTCGCTTGTGTTAGATTGGTGCTGACATTGGGAGGTCATGCAGCCTTCATTTATTGGATGTGTTAAGTGTACTCACTAAGTTTTAAGGAGGCCTTTTTGTGACTTACACTGCCTGAGTGCCCCATCAGTAAGTAATTCATCATTATAATAGTAGCCAAGTCACAAAACCAAGTATCTGTAATCAGTTCCCCCTCTCCATAGTCATTCTTCAAGTGAACATCTTATACGAAGTCATAAAAGTAATTAAGTGCTGAAGGTAGGCAGTAAACTGAGATGGGCTTCCTTCAGACGAGTGATTGCTTTATCTTAGTGCTTTTAGAAGCACAGTGTTTGATTCTCCCATATTTTTAGGTAGTGTATTTTTCAGATTTGTCTGATTATATAAGGTATGTATATAATATGTCACTGGCCACACCTGGGGTTTTTTGGTACCACCTGTATCCAAAAGTCATTGGCCACACCTGGGTTTTTTTTTGGTACCTCCTGTATCCAAAATTCCTTCAGCACAAACACAACCCAGGAACTGTGGTAAACACTTCATTATCCCTGGCATCAAACAACCAAGTGTAACTCCTGACACCCAGACTGCCTCTTGTGCTTAGGTTCTGTCTCGTGCATTGATGTACATTCCACAACTGGGGAAACATGCAGAAAGCATTCTGGAAAATGGCAGCAGCAGTGGCAGAAAACTTGCCAAACTTCAGAGAATTGCTCGCCAGGCTGTCGCTGCACTGTGTGCACTTGGAGGCTTCAAAGAGACAATCAAGATAGGATCTGAGGTTCAGGTAATCCACCGCCATTTCCCCCTCATTGCTTCCCCCATACAGAAGCAGCTAAAAAACAAACAAACAAACAAACAAACCAACCCCAAAAAACCCAGCCCTCATTCCTTCAAAATAAATAAGGAATCTGAGCAACATGAATTTTAATCTACAGGGTACTCTACATTTTTCAAAACTAATGCAACACTTTATAATGTTAACTGCAATATGTGTGTTCTCTAAGGTCATTAATATTGGCAATATTTTAGAATTGAAAATTTGAGAGCTAGGCATGATAGCACACACCTGTAAGCCCAGCAACTCAGAAGGCTGAGGCAGAAGAATCCCTATTTAAAGCCAGCTTCAGCAACTTAGTGAGACCTGTCTCAAAAGAAATTTTTTTTAAAAAAGTCATGGAGAGAGCAGTTGGGAATGTAGCTCTGGTAGAGTGTCTCTGGGTTTTGGTCTGCAGTATCCCCAAAAAAGAAAGAAAATGGAAGGAAGACAGGCAAGCTTGAGATGATGGCATGTTGTGATCACCTTGCTGTAAGACTTTAAACCTACTATTTTGATTCATATCCTGGGCTAATACCCACACTAGAATAAATGATTACTGTAGTGCAGGTAATGACAGCTGTAAACGGACACTTCCTGCTTGTCACTTTAGATAACTGCACACACATCAGAGCTGACAGGTAGTGCTAATCCATCTCTGTCTCTAGGTTTTAGGTAGAGGAATATCAGGAAGCATTGGAGTAGTGGCTTCTATCAATGAACAGGAAGGTATCGCTACAGTCAGATTTCCACCCATAGACTGTCGAAAGACTTCTCAAGCGTCAGACACATTGACTATTCCATTGTCTAGACTTTGTGTTCCAAGGTCAGAGGTAAGATGATTTTGAAATATTTTATAAAATGTCACTGAAAATCGTAGCTGTTCTGCAATAGTTAACGTGCACTTGCCTAGTAAAGAAACAGATACTTTGGTATTTTAAATTTTACTTGTGATGTGTATTTATTTATATATTGGTTGTAACTACTGAAGAGTTACATTTGTATGAAAATTTTTCCTCTAGATAACAAAATTAATTTCTTTATTGGTTAGGAATATTCCATAGTATTTTTGTATTTTTGATAAATTTGATCTGGTTTATGACTTTCTCTGATGATTTTACTTTAACTTTCTGTCCCCATCTTGTCCCACCTTTAGGCACTACCCCTCCACAAACTATCCATTACTGAGAAAGTAGTGCAGGCAGTTCAGTCCATGCTGCTTCCACAGGAAGGCAGTCTCTCAATTCACACCTCGCTTCCTGCAACAGGAGATGGCTCTGCACCTGTGATGGCAGTCGTCCGGCTCCTGGCTGAAATAAGAACGAGGTGAGCACCCACCCCAGATGCTTCCCAGGTTATCTGGGGTGCTGGGTGGGCCCTATCACCTCGGGCTTAAGGGTCTACAGCTTGAAGCTCATGCCAGCTGTTGAACAGAAACCACTGTCTTGTACTGTTTACTGTAGTTCATTGCAGTGCCTGATTTTTGCAGTTTTTATTGCATCCTGTTTCTGCACTCGGAAATAAAATTGAGCTGTCCTCCTGAAAAAATAAGCAAGCAGTTGAGCTACTACATGTGGAATGCATACACGAGTTGCATGATTTGCTCTGGCAGAAGCACTTTGTTCTGTCACAGGAATAACACTGCCATTTTTTCAAATGGCTTCAGCCACAATGGTGTGTTTCTGGTCCATCATTTTCCAAACCGATAACCAGAAGACCAGGGAATGCTCAGTATCTGTGTTGGAAAGGAAAGCAATCTCTTCCCGCAAATACATTTATTTACCATTAAATAGGAGTAACAAGTTTCTTTTCTGACCATGGAACCTCTCAGAAACTTCTAATATGTACATTGAATCCTGAGAGAGAAATCAGCATATAGCTTTTTCTCTCTTGCTTCTGGAACTCTGTTATTGTCCAAATAGCACAGTTTAGAGAAAGCTTTTAAGATGGTCACCTAAGGGCTGGAGTTGTGGCTCAGTGGTAGAGTGCTTGCCTAGCATGTGTGAGGAACTGGGTTCATCCTCAGCACCACATAAAAAATAAAGGCATTGTGTCCATCTACAGTTAAAAAAAAAAGATTGGTCACCTGGCATTTTGCATTTCTGTTTAGTGGAGACTGTCTAAGCAGATCAATAGTTACTGTGTGAGAAAAGTTGCTAATACAGTCGTTCTTGGACTTCTGTGGGAGATGGAATCCAGGCCTGCCTCAGATACCAAAATCTGTGGTTGTTCCAGCCATTGTATGAAACGATGTTGTATTGCACTGAACCTACACACATCCTCCTGTATATTTTAAGCCCTGTATAGAATCTTTAGGATACCTACTACATTATAACTAATTGATAGATGGTATTATTTAGGAGATAATGACCAAACCAAAAAATTGTCTGTGTATGTTCAGTACAGGTGCAATTTTTTTCTCCCAAATATTTTTGATCTGTGGTTGGTTGAATCTGTAGATGCAAAACTCCTGTGGATATTATGGATATGGAGGACTGACTGTATATTTCCAAGCCAGTCCAGCCAAGAATAAAAGCAAAGGGAACGGGGTTGTGGTTCAGTGGTAGAGCGCTCGCCTAGCGTGCATGAGGCACTGGGTTTGATCCTCAGTACCACATAATAAATAAATAAATAAATAGATAGATAGATAGATAGATAAATAATTGTGTCCACCTACAACTAAAAAGTAAATATTTTAAGAAAAGAAAAAGCAAGAGGAGTAGAGAGTCTAAACTGAGGGACAAAATTGATTGAAATGTTTTTCACAGTTGACATTATAGAGAGTAAACATTGATGACTTTGAAATATTGTAAATCTTTTAACATTAAGAGCATGCCTGGTCATGGCCCAGCTTTTAGAAGACAGCTTATTTTGTGAAGAATTCATACAGCAGTGTCCAGCAGCTGTTGAAGTTCTTAACCTGGTAGCCCAGGAATGCAGTGCTGGTAAGTACCTGTTCCTTTCCTTACCACTCTCTTTGATGGCACATAATCAGCACCTCTACTGTTTGATAATGGATTATTAACTGTGTTCATACATGAGGCAGCTGAGTTCTAGGAGAGTGTATATCACAACTCACTTATATCCCAGACCTACAGATATAAGTCAAAAGCTTTCAGTCATACCAGCGAGGAAGCAGGCATTCTTCAGTTTACCTTTAGGCCCCTGCTAGAATATTTTCTTTTCTCCATCTATATTAATTCATTGCCTTTATTTCCCTATCAGAAATATGAATAAGAAGTCCCTAATGGGTGGCATATATATTCTGACTATTGTCATGGGCTACATTTGAATTCAAGGTTGAGTTTACACTGACATCCATCCTTGGGGGTAGGTGTTAAGGGAAAGTACAAAACCATACAGAAGTAGGGGGGCAGTGTCCTAGACCCTCGTGTTTGCATCATTCAAATTTAATAGTTCAACTCACAGGGGATCCTGCTTCATCTATGCTATCATCCCTGGGATAATTTTAATCCTAGATATTATTTTATCTGTAAATATTTTGGTATGTTTCTCTAAAATATAAGACCTCTTAGCTGGGTACAGTAACTTAACGCCTGTGATCCTCCCTATGAACTCAGGGAGCTAAAGCAGGACAATGCAATTTCAAGGCCCACCTTGGCAACCTCATAATCCCCTGTCTCAAAATAAAAAGGGCTACAGTCGGGCATGGTGGTGCACACCTGTAATCCCAGTGACTCAAGAGGCTGAGGCAGGAGAATCAAAAGTTCAAAGCCAGCCCCAGTAAGTTAGCAAGGCCCTAAGCAATTTAGTGAGACGCTATCTCAAAATAAAAACTCAAAAGGGTTGGAGATATGGCTTAGTTGTTAAGTGCCCCTAGGTTTAATCCCTGGCATCAAAGGGGTGGGGGGTAGGGATACAGCTCATTGGGAGAGCCCCATAAGGTTTATTAATAATTCTTTAATATTAGTAAACATCTAGTCAGCATTTCACTTCCTAGTTTTCCTATAAAGATCATATTTGCTTTTACATTTGGTTATTTGAATAAGGACCCAAATAAAGTTCATGGTATAATTTTTATGTCTTATACAACTCTTGTAAAGCATAGTTTCCTCTTTCTCTTATTTATTTATTTTTTGGCGTGGTATACATTTTCTAAAAGGTTTTCCCAGTCTTGATTTTGCTGCTTGTGTCCCTGTAGGTGTCACTTAACATGCTCTTTAGCCCTCATATTTCCTATAAATTGGTAGTTGCCTTGCATTTTTTCTGTTATTTGTTTTTGCCTTTAGATCTCTTTAAATCCTCTTTTTGGTCATTTTTCTTATCTATATTATTTATTATTTCTTAGACCATTTACTTTGTCCATAACTCTCTACTACCTTTTCTGTCCATATTTTTTTATTCTTTTTCCCTGTGGTCATTTCTCTTGGGATTTATTTGTTTTTCATTTCTTAATTTATCTTTATTCTTTTTTTCTCCCCAATATATTTGTCTTTATTTGTATCTGATTTACTTCTCAAATCTCTTCTTTTATAAGAAGATTCAGTAGAAGTTCCAACTGGAAGAACCAGTCATATGTAAACCTCAGAGAGATCTGTGACTAGAGAAAAAAATGGGAGAAAATGAGTTACCTGGGCTGCTAGGGTAAAATTACTTGGGACAGGTCTTTGCCCATAGTTTAGTTTGCTACTTCTGGTACGTCCTTAGTTCACTGCCTCAGCTTTTTTCATATTCTTGGCTTAGAAAACATTTTAAGAAATATTTCAATTGATTGTAGCAAACAATTTTTTTTTTTTTGCAAACATAAAATTTGCTGACTTAATCACTTTTTTTCTACAGGACCATTCCTCGTTGTTCTCTTCTACATATTTTATAGAATAAAATGGTCTTAATTTGTAAAATTAACATTGGTGCTTAATGTACAAGCCAACATTTGTAGTAGTTTAGAGCAGTGGTCTCACATGGTTTTGATCATTGTCCACCTAACAGTATTCCTTATTGGAAAAGAACAGAGAACCATGTGGGAAATGCATACTAATAACTGTGACTAAAAATTCACTTATCAGATTCCCAGAAATAGCCCTGAAGCTTTAAGTAAATATCAAACTTTGCTACTGCAAGGTCACTTACCCATAATAATCAAAGAAAACATCGTGTACACTGGGTTACTTTGTAACAGAGCAGTGGATTCTTATGGCCCAGGTGGGATCATAGTTCTGCTCAGGAGAAATTCTGTTTAATAAATTATATTAGGAGGGGTGAGGCATGAAGAGAAGCCAGAATGGAATGGATATTCATTTGTTCATTCATTCAGAGATGAAGTCTCAGTATGTTACCCAGGCTGGCCCTGGACTCCTGGGGCTCAAGCCACCCTCCTGCCTCACCCTTCCAAGTAGTTGGAATTACAGGTAGTGCATGCCACTGCACCCAGTTTAGGATTTTAATTTTTTAATGCCTTTTATTTGATATATAAAACTGTCATGAAATTTATAACAGTAAATATTGATCCTCAGATTTTCAAAAATATTTCAATGAATTCCTCCCACTATTTTCCTTTGTCTAGTCTTACTTAAGTAACAGATATGGCCACTGTAATAATAACTGAGATCTAAATCTTATAACTTCTCTGTGTAAAGAGGAGAGCACTTAGTGTCACACAGGACGGGAGCACTCTCAGGAGCTGTTCCCATGAAGAAGTAGTACTCCTAAGAGGTTACCTGGATCTCTGAGTTGAAACAGCAAAGGAAGCCACGATTCAAACCTGAAGACAAAGCCCATGGAAACCAAAAGAGGTCGTGACTTGTTTTACACTTTTAGAGAACCAGAACCCCAGATTCAGCTGTCTCTCTCTCCCAACTTTCTGATTTATAGATTTCTTGACCCAGATGCTCTCAAACGGAAAATTCCTAAGAAAAGTCAGAATCATGTTAAACTACTTCCCAAGAAAATAATAGAAAAAAAATTAAATGCTGCCCAACAACCATCAGAAACTCAGGGCTGTTAAGAGTGGCCCAGGTGATTATGGCACAGTGGCCTTCAGACCACACTCCAGGAAATGGTGCCCTGAGTTTGCCCTGACCCATCTTCTCCTTGCCCTTCTCCTGAGTTTTCACTGTCTCCCTTCTGTGGAGATCCAGGCCTGCTGGCTGTTTCTCCACCGTGTCCCCTCCCCAGCCTCAGGAGTGTGCCACATTTATAATCAGAGTTGCCGATTATTCAGGAATCAGCTCTCCTTCCTGACTTCCCTGCTCCAGTTAATACTCTGAGTACTGTGGCTGCTCCAGGAGTAGCCGAGCAAGTGCCTCCACCTTGTCCTCATGTCTCTTGCCGACATCCTTCTGGAGTTGAGCCCTGCCGTACCGGTCTCCACGCCAGCTCCCCACCAACACTGTGCTCCCAGCTCTTTCCTCTCACCTTGTTTCTTTCCACACTGTCACCTCTATCATCTTGCTGAAGCCCTGATCTGAGTGGCTGCTTGTCAGGAGCAGCGGCTGCCCTGTGTGGCTGGCTTTCCTAGCTACTGATGCCAAGCTCTTGCCTGTGCCCTGGACAGAGTCACAGCAGACCACTCAGTTTCTTATTACTATGACAGGGAAGAACGAGGTTTTTCTTCATTGAAGTGTAGGACTTTTAAATTCTCACACCAGACACTATAGAGTCTGCTATTACCTTAAGCCAACCTCATGGCAAATGAAGTTTATCAAGTAAGCTCTATTCCCTTCCCCAACCCCAAGCATAGCTTCTACCTTGTTATTTAGCATGAATCTTCACCATGGAAACTGCTACTGGTTAATTATAAGAGCATTGTTGCAGGTGTCATTGTATCATCTATTCTGTATGTGAGGTCGTCCAGAATAATTTTCTAAGTCATTTAAACAAAATAGTTAGAAAGTGTATATCAGAAATAGTTGGTCTCCTTATGACTAGGTGACTTATTTATGGCCTCCATAAGCTCTGTAATTGAACAGTTTCTCTCTTCCTCCTGACCACTGGGAAGCAAAGATCCACATTTGTACCCCAAATATAAAGGACCCAGGCACACACCTTATGGGCCCGCTGTACTGTTGGCCCCTCTTTGACTCTGTCTTAAAGTTGCCTTATCTCTCTTGTTTCCTGATTCATATCATGGGATTACATTGGGTGTGTCTGTTTCTTCCCTTAGGTGGCTATGTGTCTGTAGCTACAGTGTAAGTAGATTAGTCCTTAGCCACTGTCTGACACAAACCCTATGCTTTGCTTTGCTTTGCTTTTTCTTACTGGGGATTTAACCCAGGGGCACTTTGTCACTGAGCTGCATCCCCTATCCTTTTATTTTCTATTTTGAGACAGAACCTTGCTAAGTGACTGAAGCTGGCCTCGAACTTAATGATCCTCCTGCCTCAGCCTTCTGAGTTGCTGGGATCATAGGCACCTGGCTGTGTACTTTACTTTACTTTTTTTTTTTTAAATCCAGGAATGTTTTAAAATTGAGGAATAATTTACAGACTATAAAATTTACCACTTTAAAGTGGACAATTCAGTGAGCTTCACCACTAATTCCTTAATATTTCTACCTCTGTCCTCTCAAAAAACTGCTCATATACACAGTAAGTGGTTACTACCCTAATCTCTACTCTTACCCTCTGGCAATACGAATCTGCTTTCTATTCTATAAATTGGCATCTTCTGGGCATTTCATGTAAATGGAATCATATAGTATGTGGCCTTTGGGGTCAGGCTTCTTTCACCAGCATCATATTTTCATAATCATTCATATTATAGTACCTCATTCTTTTGTATGGCTCAATCCCATTCTGTTGTATGAATAGACCACATTTTATTTATTCATTGATTGATTTGATGGATACTTGTGTTGTTTCTACTTTGGGCTGTTATGAATAATGCTCTGTAAACATTTATATAAGTTTTTATTTGGATATATATTTTTAGTTCTCTTGGGTATATACCTTGGAGTGGAACTACTGGCTTACATGATAATTCTGTGGGGTTTTTTTTTGTGTGTGTGTGTGTGTGGTTTTGTTTTGGTGGTGTTGGAGATTGAACCAAGGGCCTCACACATACTAGGCAAGTTCTCTACTGAGCTCCACCCCAGCCCTTTTACTTATTTATTTATTTACTTACTTACTTAACTTTGAGACAGAATCTCTAATTCGCCTACCCTGCTTTCAGACTTTCAGTCCTCCTGCCTCAACCTCCTGGGAACATGGAGTTATAGCATGTGCCACCACACCTGGCTATGTTTAACTTTTAAGGAATTGCTTTCCTTTTTGAGGGACTGTTTTTCAAGTGACCATATCATTTACATTCCAGCAACATGTAGGGCTCCAGTTACTCCATGTTTTACAAATGTTGGTGTTGTCTTTTTTATTATAGCTATCCTCACAGGTAGGAAATGGTCCCTCATGATGGTGTTAGTTTACATTTTCCTAATAACTGATCATGGTGAATATCTTTTCACATTCTTGTTAGCCATTTGTTTATCATCTTTGGAGAAATTTCTGTCCAAATCCCTTGGAAATTTTTAAATTGGGTTATTTATCTTTTTATTATTGAGTAACAAGGGTTCTATATGTATTCTAGATATACTAGTCCCAAGTCAAATGTAACTTGCAAATATTTTCTTCTGTTCTATGGGTTGTTTCTTCACTTACTTAATAATATACTTTGAAATAATAAAAATTTTCATTTTGAAGAAATCACTTTACCCAGGTTTCTTTTGTGACTTGTGCTTTTGGTGTCATATCTAAAAACCATTAGTATCTGTTGTAAATTTGTGTCTATAAAAATGGTTTAAGGGCTGGGATTGTAGCTCGGCAGCAGAGCACTTGTCTAGCATGCTTGAGGTGCTGGATTCTATCCTCAGCACCACATAAAAATAAACAAGTAAAATAAAGTCATTCTGTCCATCTGCAACTACAAAAAAATTTTTTTTAATGGTTTTAAAACCTTAAGAAATAGGCCATGCTTGGTGGCACATACCTGTAATCCCAGCAGCTCAGAAAGCTGAGGAAGGAGGATCATGAATTCAAAGCCAGCCTCAACAAAAATGAGGCACTAAGCAACTCAGTGAGACACTGTCTCTAAATACAATACAAAATAGAACTGGGGATGTAGCTCAGTGGCCAAGTGCCTCTGAGTTCAATTCCTAGTACCAAAAAAACAAAAACAAAAAACAACAACAAAAAACCTTAAAAATGGAATGAAATAAATATTAGCGGATTTATAGTCCAAATGGCCTAACCAGAGTCTTTACGCCTATATCATCTTCTAAGTTTTATAGTTTTAGCTATAGGGTTTATGTTGTTTAGGTGTTTTTTGATCCATTGTGTGTTAACCTCCATGTGTCGTGTGAAATATTCTTTTTAAAAAAAATTTTTTTTTAGTTGTAGATGAACACAATACCTTATTTTGTTTTTTTATTTTTATGTGGTGCTGAGGATTGAACCCAGCGACTGACACATGCTAGGCAAGTGCTCCACCACTGAGCCAGGATCCCATCCCATGAAATATTGTTAATACCTCTTGCACTTGACTTTTCTAGACCTTTTCTCATAGTGTCAAGCCACCCGAATTTTCTTTCTTCTCTGTTTATTGCATTTCTGTCTCTTGTAAGATCGAAGTCAATACTGTCTTCATTAAGCCTGTCTGGATTCTAGAATGAAGTTATTGCCCACTCATCTGTGCCTGGGCTTAGGCCTTATGTCACATAAACATACAGTGAAGCTTTATGCTCCTTTGTGTGGATGTGTGTTTGTGTGCATGGTCACACTTTTTATATACCCTCCTATGTCTTCATATTCTCCAATATCTAGCAGTGTGCCTGGTTCATAGGAGGCATTCAATAGACATTAATTAATTTATTGATTGGCTTATTTTTATTGGGGACTGGACCTAGGGCATTTTATACTGATATATAAAGATGATATTTATTTTATTTATTTATATTTTTTTGATACCGGAGACTGAACCCAGGGGTACTTAATTACTGGGCTACATCCCCAGCCCTTTTTTGTATTTTATTTAGAGACATTGAGTTGCTAAGTGCCTCGCCAAGTTGCTAAGGCTGACTTGAACTCATGATACTCCTAACTCAGCTTCCCGAGTCACTGGGATTACAGGCATGTGCCACCGCACCCAGCAATTTTTATTTTTGAGACAGGGTTTCATTAAGTTATTGAGGCTGACCTTGAATTTGCAGTCTTCCTGCCTTAGCCTCCCAAGTTGCTGGGCTTACAGGTGTACACCACTGCATTTGGCTCAATACGCATTAATTTTTAAAAATCATTTTAGATATTAAGAATAATAGCCTTCATTTATTAGAAATATGAATAATAGTTCCCGTTATTTGCCCTGTGCTAGGAGCTAAGCTTAAGGCTCTACCTGAGTTAATTCACTTCATCGTCTCAAAACCCTACAAGAGGGTTGGAGTTGTAGCTCAGTGGTAGAGCACTTGCATTGCAAGTGTGAGGCACTGGGTATGATCCTTAGCATAACATAAAAATAAATAAAGATATTGTGTCCATCTACAACTAAAAAAAAAAAAATTAAAAAGGAAAAAAAAAAACCATGAGATTTAGGCACTATTATTACCCTTGTATTGGAAGTGAGAAGTGAATACAGAGTAGTAGAGCCAGGTTCTGCATCTAAACAGCCTCATCCAAGCCATGCACGCAGCCACATGGCCATGCTGCTGACTGTGTCATAGTCAAAGATGTCCCAGGGCATTTGCTCCTTTGTAAGGAATTAAATGATGTCTATAAATGAATTTTGCTTCAATGCTACTCCAGAGGAGTCAGAGTTCTGTTCAGGGTTATAGGAGTTGTTTCCACAGATTCCCTGTGCCCCTCTGCAGGAGAGCGACTTGCTGTTGTGGAGGTGCAGTGTGAGCGGCTGAGGATGCTCTATCGGGACTGCGCCCGGCCCCCGCCCCCTCCCCTGCAGGCTGACCGGAGACAGGTGAGCCCTCACACCTCCTACCTGGCTGCAGGCTGCAACACACGTCATTAAAGAAGACCAGCAGCTTGTTGAGGACATTTAGGATGAGCATTGCAAAGCCCTTTGTAGGTGCTTGCAGTCATCTGAATATCAAAGCATATTGAGCTGACATTATGAATACTGAAAAATTACATTAGGGGCAGAATTTATTGATTTATTAATAGTTCTCTTTGTTATCAACAACAGAGAAAGAAAGCCCTTAAAATTTTAGCTATTTAGTCCACTTTATAATAGGTGTATTTGGAGAGAGAATGAGAGACTAATTTAAAAAACAAAAGTGACAAAATATTTAAAATTGCTATATTGGGCTGGGGATGTGGCTCAAGCGGTAGCGCGCTCGCCTGGCATGCGTGCGGCCCGGGTTCGATCCTCAGCACCACATACCAACAAAGATGTTGTGTCTGCCGAGAACTAAAAAAAAAAAAAATTATTAAAAATTCTCTCTCTCTCTCTCTCTTTTAAAAAAAAAAAATTGCTATATATTTGATTGTTGATAGCAACATTACTTGCAATAGCCAAAAAGTGAAAATAACCCAAGTGTACATTAAGTGTTGAATGAATAATCAAAATATGATATATCCAAGCAACAGATTATTTGGCCATAAAAAGGAATGAAGTGCTAATAAATGCTATGACATGGATGGATCCTAAAGTCATGCCAAGTGAAATCGACAAAGACCTCATGTTTCTTGGTTCCATTTACATAAACTTTCTAGTTCAGGCGCATCCATAGATAAAGGAAACAGAGTAATGGTTGCCAGGAGCTAGAAGGAGAGAGATGGGGTTTGAGTTCTGAAGTACACAGTTTCTTTTAGCAGGGAAAAACATGTTCTAAAATTAGATCATGGTGATGATCGCACAACTCTGCGAATACGCTAAAAACCACTGACTTATATATTTGAAATGGAGAATTGTATATTATGTGAATTATACAAGATAAGTTGGAATATCTAGGTAGTGTATAAGACTTGCTGTATTCTTGCAGTTTTTCTGTGATCTTAAACTTATTTTTTAAAGACATTGAAAACGTATAAAAGGGGGTTGGGGTTGTGGCTCAGTGGTAGAGTGCTTGCCTAGCATGTGTAAGGCACTGGGTTCGATCCTCAGCACCACATAAAAATAAATAAAATAAAGATATTTTGTCCATCTACACATAAAAAAATTAAAATAAAACATATAAAAGGAAAAAGTCCCTTTAAACATCATCATCTCCAGTTGCCATGGTCAGCACATTGACATAAAAGTTTTTTAAACACAAATGAATTTCTGTCTGTACTTTTGATGCTCAGGTCTTTCTCCTCTGTAGATGGCGAATCCCTCCCTGTCCGTGTCAGCCAGCAGCAGCGGAGCGTGTGCTCGAGCTGTTATTGCCAGGCATCCAGGTTGACTTGAGCTACCTCTATGAGGGCGACCTGACGCACATCTCTGGAGCTCAGTCTTTCCCTGCGTCTCATCTCCCAGTTCTCTCTGTAGGATACAGTGAAATCGGGGGTCAAAAAGACAGGCTTTGTCCGATAGAGAAGACTATTTGATGATATTAGGTTGATTAAAGTATTAGCATTATCATTTACAGAGTTAAAAGAGAAAATATTCCTGGGGAACAGGAGTGGACGTGGTGAAGGAGATAGCCTTTAAAAAAAGAAGTTCCCTTTGGGGAAAAAAATCAAAATTTGTATATATATGGCTGGGGCGTGGCTCAGTGGTTGAGCACTTGCCTAGCGTGTGTGAGGCCCTGGGTTTGGTCCTCAGCACCACCAACAAAACCAATGTTTCTAATAAAAAGTAAAATTATTTTATATATATGTACACAACTGAATATGCTGGTATTTTAATACCATCAGATAACCTTTGTTTTCTTTGGGAGATAGAGGCATTTGTGTCTGCAATTTTATTGAATGAGGTTTCCCCCCCACCCCCACCCCTTGTAGCCCAAAGAGATAACTTGGAGCCCCTCCCGAGTGTTTCCTCCAGTGCGGGCCTGCATGTTCTCATCTCACCTGACCTCGGTCACATTCCTGGCTGACCCCAGCGCTGGGGGAGGTCTGCCCCGGGGCACCTTTATCTACGCCACCTCACCTCTGCCAGTTCAGGTGAGACAGCACACAGCACATTGCCTTTAGCTGCTTCTTCCAAACTGAATGAGCAAGGAAGTGGTGGGGCCCTGACTGAGCCACCTGACTGTGCCCTCTGCTGGTGTCTCTTCAGGCCCCATCTTTTTACTGGGAAATTGAAATTGTTTCCTATGGAGATACTGATGACGACACTGGACCAATAGTTTCCTTTGGCTTTGCTACAGAAGCCGAGAAACGAGATGGAGCTTGGACCAACCCAGTGGGCACTTGCCTTTTCCACAAGTGAGTGACTGCTACTACTTTTATTTAAAGAGAAGAAAAGTGGGTCAGTGTTTCAGAGAACAGCAGCTTCCCACAAGGTGTTTGTAGATAAGAAGCCAAAATCGAGGTGTGTCTTCAAATAAGCTTGAGGAAAGGAGCCGCTGCTTCCCTCGCTTGGACATTCACGGTGCCTGTTGGCTTCGTTCCTTCCTAATTGTCCTGCAATAAGAGATTGGTTTTGTTTCCAAATGGATTTGAGCCCGCATCCTTTATTCTATGAAGACAGTTCGGGAGACGTCGGTGTGGGTGTATTGATGCTAAAGTGATACCACAGTCTCTGCCCCCACAAAATGTGAGAAATGCCTGTTGAAATGCACTCACATTTCAGGGTTCCTGGTGGCCCTCATGCTGCTGATGCCCTCCCCGTGCACTCCACCTGCCGCTGTGTGGGCTGATGCATCTCGCCCTTGACCCCCTCCTTCTTTCCCTAGCAATGGCCGAGCCGTGCACTACAACGGCTCCAGTCTGCTCCAGTGGAAGAGCGTTCGCTTAGACGTGACTCTCTCTCCTGGTGAGTGCAGTGGGGGCTTTTTTAACTTGAATACTTCTGGTGGTCCCAAGTTTGGGTCTAAATGGGTTAAAGTTAAATAAACTTGGGAACTGGAAATGTGGTTTGTCTTTTAGTGAAAACCAAGTTCTTGTCATTGCTGACCCTAGTGTACACCAAACCTCTCACTTTATAAGGCCATTACCCTTTTGGTAACTTAGGGGGCACTTTTTTTCTTCATCTGGCTGCCACACAGGTTGCAAATTACAAGTTTGTTGGAGAGTCAATAAAGGGAGGAAATGTGTGTGTGTCCTTCCTATTCTCTACTATAGGTGACGTGGCAGGAATTGGCTGGGAGAGAACCGAGGGTACTCCACCTCCACCGGGGCAGCCAGCCAAGGGCCGGGTGTACTTCACATATTGCGGGCAACGCCTTTCACCATACCTTGAGGATGTCTCTGGTGGGATGTGGCCTGTGGTTCACATTCAGAAAAAGGTAAATCACCTTGTTGGGAGAAGAGAGCAGATCTTAGTAATTTGTTTCTATCAGGAAGGAGAAGGAAAAAGGCAGTAAATGTGTGTGCTTCTGTACATACCTCATTGTGCATGGTTAACAGAAAGGAGCACAAAGTGAGCCTAAGCAACGTGCTGATCCCACAGTCTAGCAAGCACTTAGAGTCTAACTGCTCTGACTCCTTCTAGCCATCATTCTAACAGCAGTACAAGGACAAAAGTAGCAGTGCTCCTTCAGATGCTGGTAAAATGATTCTGTGGTTAGGTTTTGACAGTGACCCTGTGGTTCAGTGGCAGAGCACTCGCCTAGCACATGTGAGGCGGTGAGTTTGATCCTCAGCACCACATGAAAATAAATAAAGGTATTGTATCCCACTACAACTAAAAAAATATTTAAAAAATAAAAATAATAAAGAAGAAAAAAAATCTGGATGCAGTGGCGCATGCCTATCATCCCCGTGGTTCATGAGGCTGAAGCAGGATAATCACAGGGCTGAGACCAGCCTCAGCAACTTAATGAGACCCCAGTACCATGAAGAGAGAGAAACCAGAGACCTTTCAAATCCTTTATTTCATGCCCTTTCCTTCCAGAACACCAAAACTCGAGCCAACTTTGGCTCCCGCCCGTTTGCCTATGCCGAGGGGCAGGCCCATCGTAACGCAGCTGACCTATGCACTGACCTGGCAGAGGAGATTAGCGCAAACTTCGAGGCCCTGCCCTTTGCCATGGCATCTGACAGTGACAACGATGCCGGCACCAGTATTGCGTCAGACCCAGGCACTCATGGGCCACCGTGCCGGATTGCAGCCGTGGCCACCGCTCAGCAACGTAAGTCACCTCCTCCTGAGGCCCCATTCTGCCAGGGTTGAGAGTGCTGTGCATACCATAAGCCCATTTCACTGGGCCATCCCCATTACGGAGACCTCAAATTAAGTACCATAGGTCTCCTGAGGATGGGCGGGCCAGTCCAAGTGAAAGAACAGGGGGCGGGAGGCATGGCAGCCAGGGAGGCGCTTTCCACCTCAGGGAGCTGTCACAGGTTAGCGGCAGCAGAACGGAATGAGGTAGCTAAGGATCACAGAGCATTTATAAAACCTCTCATTTTATAGTTAACTCATTTTAAAAAAATGTTGATTTAAAACTGTGGCCATCAAAGTATAATAAGATGCCTGTGATAGAATCGGGATGGTAGGCACATAGGTGTGTATCATAAACTTTTCTTTATTTGAAAAATGTCTTAATAAAATTGAGTAAAACTGAGCTCACCAAACTGAAGCTGTCTGTAGGCCACATCTGTAGGCCACATCTGGCCCCTGGGATGCTGGTTTGCAAACTGGGTGAAGTGTTTGCTTGGTTCTCTCTCATAGGAAAGAATCTTCCAAGTTCTCTGAGTTGAATAAATCAGACCCATAAAAACTATCTTGGGATTCAGGGTAATCATAGATGCCTAGTTCTTCTTGACTCTGCTTTAAGTCTGTCCACCTGCTAGGAGTCTACCCATGATGCACACTCAGGAAGTCCAGCTTTTCCAAGGGTAGGAAGTTAATGGTCTTTCTAGCTTGCTCTTGGTTGATTTTGCTGTCGTCCTGCTTTGTTATAGAATACGATAGTGACACCTCCTGTCATTATAAAGTTGAGCTCAGCTATGAGAATTTCATCACCTCTGGCCCAGACCCTCACCCGCCTCCCATTGCAGACGATGAGAGTGATGACGATGACGATGATGACATTCCACAGGTAAGAGGCCCAAGACCCAGGTTAGGAGGTGGCCATATGTATTTAGCTCCCTGATGGCTGCCATGAGCTTCAGGGAATGATTTTGGTGTGAGGTTGCAAGGCCAGTGCTGGTACGGTTCAGCTGGGTGGCTGTGCCTGAACGGTTGTGACGTGCTCATCTTTCCACACCACCCGTTGATGTCGGTCTCTGCTGGGCTATGGCCAAGTACAGGTCCAGGTGCTGGAGAGGGGCAGTCTGGTGGCAGTAGTGCAGCAGTGAGCTCAGAGCGTTTCAGTGGCTGTTGAGGGAAGGGAAGAGCTTGTTGAGCTGTTCCTCCCTGGCATCTGAGGCTCTGCCCCTTGCTGCCATCACTGGTGTCACCTGGGCGAGGCCACTGGGCGAGAGCTGTAAGGGAGGGAGGCATGCTGCCGGCTCGAGGCGCTCCCCTCTGCTCATGGGTTGCCTCTCCTTCAGGAGGACCACTATGCCCTGCTGGTGAAAGCTTGGGAGACCAAGGTTTTTCCCACCATCCGAAGACGCTTCCGGAATGAAGCAGAGAGGAAATCCGGCCTGGACCAGATCAAGGGTGCTTTACAACTAGGTCTGGTGCTTTTTGTTCTCCCAAGGAGCTCATTGCATGGCTTGAAGAGATGGGGGAGATGTAAAATCAGGAGAGGTGCTCGTCAAGTGTCCAGCCTGACTTGACCTTGTCTTCTCCCATACTGCCAGTGAGCTCTGGATCTTTTGCTTTCATAGACTCTATTTACCTGTCATTTTAACTCAAATGAACTTCTAAATGCAGCTGGAATGGTTGTCCTGGGAATCTGAAGAACCTAGTGGTTAACAGTCACATCTAAAGTCACTGATGTGCTGTTTATCAGCCGCGGGAGCTTGGGCTTTCCCCATCTTTAAAATGGAATCAGTATGGTAACAGTCTCATTTGTATATGAGAAATAAATGGGCTGATATAGGTAGTTGAAACTCCTAAGAGCAGTGCCTGGCACAAAGTAAGCACTCAGTTAATGTAGTTCTGCATGTCACAATGGTAATGATGGAGGTGAGACTTTTCCCCTTCAGCAGAGCAGTGGAAAGGCTGAAAGGAGATGGTTCATAGTGCCCAAAGGATCCCTCTGTAATGGTGATCAGCCTCCTGTCATCAGGTCCCCCGGAGAAGGTTAATGAAGCTATCTATGCCTGGCCTCCACAAACTTTACTTTGGCATTCTCCCTTTGACTCTTATTCCTGCTTATTGGATAGTATTTTTTTTCTTCCTCTCCACTATTTGGAAAGATTATTTAATTCCAAAATGTTTTAATATTAAGCCACAGTTTCTGTTTGTTCTCTCTGACGCTTCTTTCCATAAGCATCCTTCTATAATCACAATCTCTTTTTAAACTATGCTTAGAAAATTGCCATAACGCTTCATTACAGCAAGATAGCAAATAAAGATGGTGGGTTTATGTCATGGAAATAGGCTTTGTTTAAAAAGAGGTGCTTGCCAGGCCCAGTGGTACCACCTATAATCCTAGCTACTTGGGAGGCTGAGGCAGGAGGATGACAAGTTCAAGGCTATTTAGCAAGACCCTATCTCAAAGTTTAAAAAAAGGACTGGGGATGTAGTCAGTCATAGAACACCCCTGAGTTCAATCCCCAGTACCAAAAAAAAAAAAAAAAAAAATGACTGCATAATAATGATCCATCATTTTTAACCTTCCTGTATTGATAAATTCTTGAGCTATTTCCATTTTGTGGTTATTATTTACTAACAGTGCTACAGTGAATGTTCTTGGATCTTTGCACACTGGTGCTTGTATTGCTGCAAGAGAGGTCTGAGAGATTCTCAGAAGTAATGCCTTTAGTATTATACACTTGGTAGAAACTACATAGTTGCCTTCTCTAAGAAGTACACTGTCCCATAAATAGTGTTTAAAAGATTCTGTGTCATTTCACTCCAGATACTTGTCCTCTCAAGACTGCATGCTCTGTGGAGAGTTACTGGGTCTGTTATGTTTTCAGGCATGGTGGATATTGCCCGACAGACGGTGGAATTTCTATATGAGGAGAATGGCGGCATCCCAAGAGACCTGTATCTTCCCACCATTGAGGATATTAAAGATGAAGCAAACAAGTTCACAATTGACAAAGTTCGAAAAGGTTTTCCTTTCCTCCTTAATTCACCTGTGAACTTTCCTATGATATCAGTAGTTGAATTTTCCCAGGCATGAACCAAGCAGCTGGTAGTTTTCCTAGGGTGACCTCCATATGCCAAATAATTTGACCTCTTCCAAGCTCTCCCATGTGAAGCCCTCAAGGGCAGGGGTAGGCATCAGCAATTGTTTGGCCCTTGGTATCTCTGCCATGTTCCTGGAGCTCTCTGATGTGGGCAGCTGAGGCAGGGCTGGGAGTGCAAGGGGGGAAGCAGGGCCTGGGCTGAGGGCCCAGTTCTGAGCCAATAAGCCCTATGTTCATGGTTAAATTTTAAAATTTTAATAGAATATAGTCACTTAATTTAAAAACTATTGCATATTTTAAGGAAAAAGAAAAAACAGAAAGCACAAAAAAATAGAATTTAAAACAGCTCACTTTTAGAATTACCAGATGACCTTCACAAAAGTACCAGAACATCATGGGCAGGCACAGGAATAGATATTTATTTTCATCTCTTCTTCCTCTTCTTCCTCCTCTTCCTCCTCCTCCTCCTCCTCTTCCTCCTCCTCTTTCTCCTCCTCTTTCTCCTCCTCTTCCTCATCCTCCTCTTCTTCTCCTCTTCTTCTCCCCTCCTCCTCCTCCTCCTCCTCCTCCTTCTCCTCCTCCTCCACCACCACCACCACCACCAAAAAAAAGTTTACCTTTTTGAAGGTACAATTCAGGAGTTTTGAATATGTTCACTAAGTTGTGCGACCACCCAGTGATTGTTCCTCTATAGTTGTTCAGCAGTTCCGTCCCCCCTCCAAAAAAATCTTGTGACCTCGTTACTCCCTGTAGTTTTTCTAGGGTGACCACAGCCTCTGGGCACCGCAGCTCTGCTTTCTGTCTCTGTAGATCTACCTGTTCTGGATTCTGCTTCATTCCTACAAATGGAATCACATGTCATGTGGTTTCTTCATCCAGGTTCATCCATGCTGTGGCCAAATAATTTTTCATTGTGTGTACATGTTCCATTTTGCGTTTCCATTCATCCATTAGCAAATATTTGATAAAAATAATAAAAAAATAAACATTTGAGCTGTTTCCATTTTGGGGCTAATATGAATAATGCTGCAGAGAACATTGGTGCACGAGTTTTTGTGTGGCCATGTGTTTTTGTTTCTTCTTGGTGTGTATATAGGGGTGGAATTGCTGGGTCATTTGGTGGTTTTTGGTGTAACTTTTTGAGGAGCTGCCCAACTATTTTTCAAAATGTCTGCAGCACAGTGCAATCCCACCAGCAATGTGTGAAAGTTCTAATACCCACATATCCTTGCCAGCACTAGTTATTGTCTTTTTTATTTAGCTGTATACTTTGTGTGAAGTATCTCTTTGTGGCTTTGACATGCGTTTCCCTAATGATTAATAACTAATATTGAACATCTTTTCATGTGTTATCTTTTCCTTCTCTTTGGAGAACTGTTTATTCAAATCCTTTGCCTATTTTTAAGTGGCGTTTTTGTATTTTCATCCGTGAATTACAAGTGTCTTTAAAACATGGTATTGTATTGCTTTTCAGGCTGAGATGTGTTCTTTTTTTGTTGTAAAAATGCTGAGGGCATTGTTTAATGCCATAGAGCTATTTTTGACCCTATAATCTAGGGTCTCAAAGTGACATGCTACTTCTTCCTAAAGAAGTTTCTACCTCTACCTCCTCAGGTCTCACAGTTGTAACTCGCTCTCCAGACAGTAATAATGTAGCCAGCAGTACCGTTGGAACTGCTTTGCCAAAATTTGCCATCCGTGGGATGCTGAAAACCTTTGGACTTCATGGAGTCGTCTTAGATGTCGATTCAGTAAGTGAACAGCCATTCAGAGTGATCAGCCCTCTCATGTGCTGAGGCCTTCGTGCCCAGACTCCCATGCACCTTAGAAAGTGATTCTGGGAAGCCAGGTACAACGCACATGCCCATTATCCAAGCTATGCAAAAAGTTTGATGGCAAGTTCCAGTTCAGCCTAGAGAGCTTAGGAAGGCCCTGTCTCAAGCTGTCTCAAGATAAAAAATAAAAAGGACTGGGGATATGGCTCGGTAGCAGAGCGCCCCTGGGTGAAAGCCCCAGAACTGCAAATGAAAACGAGCTCGTGGGCAGGGGTGCAGCTCAGTAGTAGAGCACATGCCTAGCACACCTGAGGTGCTGGGTTCTGTCCCCAGCACTGCAGAAAAAAGGGATTATTCATTTGGGTTTCTCTTCAAATTAGGGACAAAGATGCCAAATAAAAATGCTCTCATGCCAAATTTCTTGCCTGAGTTTTTTTTTTCGTGTGTTCGAACCAGGAATCAGGACTGATAGCTCACTGTTAGCTCCTAACTCCTGGTGCCATCAACTCCCCGAGACCACACCAGCTCTACCACACAGCCGTGTCCAAACCTCATCTCCACCCAAGTTCCAGGGGAAGTTCTCCCGTTGTTCTGGAATGGGTGTTAGACACAGCACTGTCAGGATTGTTAGACACAGACCAAAGAGCTTTGTCATTTGGATCACATCATCTCACTAATTGTCTCAGCCTCAGTTTCCCTACCTGTCAAGTGAGTTCGTTAAACTCATTCACTAATTGTCTCCATTTTATGAAACTTTTTCATGGGGCTCATGAGGATTCAGAGTGACGGGGGCAGAGGAAGGACAGAAAAGAGTGAGAGAAGGCAAAGCCAGAGCTGTCTTTTGAAAACAGGATTCTGTTTGAAAGCGGTAACTACATGGTTTTGAACTTTCCCATGTAAGAAAGACTAATGAAATCAAACCTATGAGTCTCCGATGAAGAATTGTCTTTTTCACTAGGTAGATACAAGCTTCAGCGTCATTCGGGGTATGATAATGTTAGGTACCATTAATACTTTGTTTTTGGGGGGGTACTGTGGATTGAATCCAGGGGTGCTTAACCACTGAGCCACATTCCTGGCCCTTTTTATTTTTTATTTAGAGACAGGGTCCTCTTTAAGTTGCTGAGGCTGGTTTTGAACTTGTGTTCCTCCTGCCTCAGCCTCCCAAGCCACTGGGATTACAGGCATGTTCTACCATCATAGCACCATTAATGCTTTGAAATTGACCTTTTAAAAATTTACATCTTTAGCTGACTACATTTTACCAGGACTTAACGTAACTCAATAAATTCTTCAGAGGGGTCATTGACTAATGGTTTACTGAGGTGACCATTTAAATAGAAAACTCCATCAGTAATCCTGAATCTCCCACTGCCATCTAATACAGACTTCTAATTTTAGTTATCAGAAGATAACTGCTAATGGTATTTTTCAGCAGTGGAAATGTATGAAAATAAAAATTAGAAACATGGAAATTTTGTAAAGTAATCATCCTATTATTTCTCAAGTAATTTGATTACTTCAGTAATTTTAATTGTCCCTGAGTAAAAATCACATTGGCATTTAAATCCAGAATGCATGATATATGTGAGCTTATTTTTTATTTATTTTTAAGTTGTCAATGAATCTTTTGTTTTATTTATTTGTCTGTGGTGATGAGGAGCAAACCCAGGGCCTCACATATGCCAGGCAAGCGCTGTACCGCTGAGCCACAACTCCAACCCTCCACCGTTTTCTTTAAATTTTTTTTTTTTTTGAGAGAGAGAGAGAGAGAATTTTTTTAATATTTATTTTTCTTAGTTTTCGGCGGACACAACATCTTTGTTTGTATGTGGTGCTGAGGATCGAACCCGGGCTGCACGCGTGCCAGGCGAGTGCGCTACCACTTGAGCCACATCCTCAGCCCCTTCTTTAAATTGTTAACTTATTATTACATTGAAGGTCTTCATTAGTTTTTTTATACCAATTAAAATTTTCCATCTGGTATGGGAAACTAAAACACTCTCAGTACCAACCACATGTCTGAACTTTTAGACTTAATGGCATGAAACTAGCATTTATTGTTATAATCTGACAATACATATTAATTTGCAGATTATATGTAAACACACATTTGTACATGTGTGTGGATATATGTACATACATGTAGACATGTACACATATGTGTTTATTTTTATTTAAAGTTTTTTTCTACTTTGTGGGGTTTTGTTTGTTGTTTGTTTGGTTTTTGGCACTGGGGATTAAATCCAGGGGTACTTTACCACTGAGCTACACCCACGGTCCATTTTATGTTTTATCTTGAGACACGTCTCACTAAGAACTGCCTCAAACTAGCAATCTTGCCTCAGCCTTTCAAGTTGCTGGGATTCCAGGTGTGCACCACCAAACTGGCGTTTTTTTGTTTTAGTTTTTGTTTTCTACTTTGAGCATTGTTTGCTTGCTTGTTGGAATAACTGGCTTTTAGCCTTTCTATTTTGTGTTAATTTATAATTAAGAATTTATTAAACAGGAGACCAAGGGGCATAACTAAGTGGCAGAACACTTCTCTATGAGAAGTGTTCAATTCAAAGCACCAGAGAGAGAGAGAGAGAGAGAGAGAGAGAGAGAGAGAGAGAGAGAGAGACAGAATGTATTATGAATTCCTTTTCAGTTTATTAATTTTGTTCATGAAATAACAAGTAGATGCAAATTATAAGCATCATAGCTAAAAACTGGGAGTTTTTGTATATTGTATATGTATATAGATTTGGAAAACAAAGTTATTAAAAAGCGGACATTTCCTTTTCCTGTTGTAGGTGAACGAGCTGGTACAGGTGGAAACATATCTCCGGAGTGAAGGGGTGCTGGTGCGGTATTGGTACCCCATTGACATGTTGGAGAGGCCCCCTGCAGGCTACCGAAGGACTGCCACCAATGGGCTGGTCACACTGGACAACACCAACCTTCAAATTCACAGGTAAAGTAGAGCCCTTCTTTCTGAGGAGTCACAGAAATCCACTGTGTTTTTCTGCATGTACCATTAATCCTTGACAAGAAGGCTTTCCTTCCAAAGCTGAGGGTTAGAGAAAGAGAGAAGACAACCAGAAAAGGTAGTAGAAAAATTTGGGGAGTTAGGCAGAAAAGTTGAAGGATATACAAGCATTCTGCTATAGATTGGGGGGCTGAGGACAGCTAGAGATTCCAAGAGTGGGAAAAATTATTCTGAGGAAAGCAACTCAAGAAGAGGTAGCGAATCAGGAAGGGGCCCAGGCACTGTGGGAGCAGTCAGCCCGCTGTTCTCGCTAAACTAGAAGGTGTCCCAGGATTGCTGGCTCTGTGCCTGGCACTGGACACGCCCTGGAAGCAAACTGAAGTACTATGGCAGCTGCCTGCGCCAGCAGATTAAAACCAAAAGACCCAGCGGCCAGGGCTGTGGCTCAGTGGTAAGCGCTCGCCTCGCACGTAGGAGGCGCTGGGTTCAATCCTCAGCACCACATAAAAATAAATAAATAAAGGTATTGTGTTCAACTATAACAACAACTACAAGAAATCACACACACACACACACACACACACGAAACTAAAATGGAGAGATATGGCAAAGTTCCTGCTGTGTGCCAATACAATTTCCCTGTGAATTGTTCCTTTCGGTCTTAAAAATTCTTATAACAATTCGGAGAAAATATAATAATAAGTGAGTTTTCTAATGAAGGTCTCTGTGCACTATTGTGCATGCCAGCCCTCCCTGGCCATCACAGTTCCTCCACAAGGTGTCGATTAGAACCAAGCTCAGCGTGTATCACTACAAATCCAGGTCCGTGTGTCCAGCTGTCTCCTCGCCACGTCCACTCAGATACTGCATTGCCCCTTTAGAAAGTCCTCAGTTCAGTTAGTCAGATCCACAAGACCAAAATAGGTGACACTGGAAGACAAAGTAGCAAGATAGAGGGCAGGAGGCGTGGTCAAGAGTGTTTCTCCAGCACCCACAGAGACCCACACAGAAGGTCAGGGGCTGCGTGACCGCTCAGGAGTGAAGGGTCGACCAAACCCAGCAAGGTTCTTGTGATAGTTGAGCATCCTGTGACTGGATCAGAGCCCAGATCTCCTGTGACTCTTCCAGAGATTCCAGCCTGAGGCATGCCACGCTCCAGAAGGCACAGCAGCTGTGGCTTCCCTCTGAGAGTGTCCTTCCTCACAGTCCTCGCAGTCCAGATGCTGCCTGCCAGTCAGGGGTCACTTTCACAGTAAGAGGCTAGTCACATGCTGTCATTCTTTGTCAGGTTTTAAGAGGAACTGAGAGCACAGGAGACTAACCAAAGGTGATTCTATGGGGGAAAGGTCTTGTTGACCTTTGACTCACACATCATCTCATAGGCACCTAAAATGTAATTCATAAGGTAGAACCTGAGTTCCCCACAAAACCACCCCCTCTGGCTTTCCCATACCTAGAAAGTAYAGCACAGCCATCCTTCTTCCTCACCGCCGCCTGTGAGCCGTCAGCAAGCCGCATCTTATCTGTCCCCGACTCTCCCTTTCCAGCACTGCCATACAGTCTAGTCCTCAACTCCTGCTTCTTTCCATAACAGCCAGAGTGGATGTGGCCACTCTAAAAGGTGATCTCTAGAAACAGATCCCAGCTCACTCTTCTGATTCTCACCTTCTGAGGCTCCCTGCTCCCCAGGAGTAGACTTCCCCACCTCCGCTCCAGCAGGGAGGGCTCTTCTGCTGCCCTCACACCAGGCTCCTTTCCTCCTGACCACTTTTCTCATGCAGATCCCAGTGAGTGATCCCCTCTTCAAAAAGGTCTTCCTTTCATTCCTTTTTATTGCAAAATAATGTTTTATTGTATGGACATGCCAYGAAGTTAACGGACATTTGAGGTATTTCCATATTTGGCTCTCACRAATGATGCTGCTGTGATTACACATCGACAAGTTTTTGTGTAGACATTTTCATTTTTTTTCCCACAGTGCTTTTGAATTAGGAAAAATCAAACATAACTAATGTGGTTTTTGTTTAGAACACAAGTAGCTCACTTGGGGCACAGAACGTGGGCCAGGAAAGGAACCTGAACTGAGGTCCTTCMCTTCAGAGCCCTGCTGCTGGCCCTCAGTACTCAGGGCCTCTCTCCCRCTTTCCCCTGCAGGGAGCTGCTGCGGTGTGAGGCTGCGTTGGCCAGGCTCTACTGCCGCATGGCCCTACTCAACATCTTCGCCCCCAAGTTCCCTCACTTGTTTACCCGYCTCTTCCACATCCCTGCCATCCGAGACATCACTCTGGAGCACCTGCAGCTGCTGTCCAATCAGCTCCTCGCCCCGCCCCTCCCAGGTAAKACTTAGCCCAGAAATCGGTGCAAATGAGAAGAGCCCTGAGCTTGCACCAGGCATGCAAGAGTGTGCTGGTCTGCTCGTCCCCACAGAGGGAGGAGACACGGTCCTGTGAGACCAGGGGCTAAGCGAAGCCCAAGAACTGCAGTTGTGCTTGCTTGCACTTTGAAAAATGGAAGTATTTTATTCACATTAGTTATTAATCTGATGAGTGTTCATTGAACTTTCCAAACTAACTGTGGGTCAGGGAACATGGACTATTGTCTAGGAAATCTGATCACACTCCTACCTCCAGAACCTGGCACCCTGCTGTAAGGACGTACAGGTGGAGCAACTGACCACATGGAGAGGCCTGTGGTGAGAGGAGCTCTCTTGGTCATTCCAGCTCCAGACAAGCTCAGACAAATGGAGTCACACAGGTGATTCTAACTAGTATCACATGAGGCCTTGAACTGCCCAGTCAACACAGAGGGTCACAAGGAATGATAAATAGCGTTTTTAAATCACTATGTGCATTTTGTAGTAATTTGTCACGTGTGCATGGGGTGAGAAGAGCTGGGAAGAGATGCTGACTCCTGGCACAGGGCACATAACTGATGGAGTGAGTTCTAAAACACTAAAGAGTTGGTCTGGGTGGAGGGAGAGCCACCTCTTCTACAACACAAAAGCAAAGACAAGCAGGTGTAGTGGTGCTCAGGAGCCTGAGGCAGAAGGAGTGCAAGTTCAAGACCAGCCTCAGCAACTTCGCAAGATCCTGTYTCGAAATAAAGAAAAAGGTAGATCAGTGTGAAAACACCCCTGAGTTTAGTTCCCAGTACCCAAAAAAGAAGAGGAGAAACCTAGTCATTGTACTGCTGCCACAGACATTCTGCCTGGTGGAAAGCCAAGGTGTCCCTGCTTTCAGACACCTCCAGAGCAGACTGTCCAACTCCCCAGGACCTCAGGGGAGCTGCTTTAGGCTTCCTGTGTATCTGTTTAGCCTGAGGCCCTTGGTTGGGGCTCTCGGTGCTCCCCAGGAATGCCCCTCTGCTCCATCAGCTTCCCTTCACTTCCCCAAAACGGAGGTGGGAACCAGATTGAGGGAGGTCCCCTGCAGGCAGTACTCTGAACCCAGCAGCCTCTCAGCCAGCTGCCTCTCAGCCAGCTGCCTCCCAGCTCACAGGCGCTGGGGTCCCGGCCAGCACCTGTGTGTGTCTTATCTACGCTTGCTGGGTGGAGTGCTGGTCCCTCAGCTCACCATGAGAACTTGGAGACTCTGAAATCTACCTGTGGGAAGCTTTACAATGATGRCAGACACATTGCTTTAACGCCACTCTAAGGCACCCTAGCCATTCCTTGGAGCAGCCCAGGGTGGCCCCGAGCAGCTGAATAGATGGGGTTCTTGGCCTCTCGTCCCAACAGCCCCGCTTCAACCCATTTGCTAGCCTCTGCTTCCGGTGTTATTCTAGGCAGCAGTTTTGCTGCTAAACAGAGAGCAGACATTTAGCTGTGTCCACTAATGCCACCCTGCTAGATGCTCTGACTGGTGGTGATGTCTGTTATCCACAGTGACCCCATCCAGGCCAGTTTACCCAGATGGGTCATTTGTTATTTCTGACTCAGGTGGTCACAAAGCTGGCTGCGGGGTTCTTGTAAACGCCTGTGCCCTTCTTGTCCCCAGATGGCACCATCAGCTCCAGCTCCATCCTCCTGGCGCAGTCCCTGCAGCACTGCATACACTCCCAGAACTGTTCCGCCACGGACCTCTTTTACCAGGGCAGCTCCCAGACAGTGAGAGAGTGGCTGAGTGTGGCCATCACCCGCACCCTGCACCAGGGCGAGGAGAGCCTTCTGGAGCTCACGAGGCAGATCTGCTCCTTCCTGCAGGTAGAAGTCTGGAGCTGACGGCCTGAACTGTGGTTCTCGGGGTTTTTTTTGTTTGTTTGTTTGGTTGTTTTTTTGTTGTTGTTACAAGTCTTCATAGCTTCCTAAAAATGGCTCCCCTTTCTCCCCCAAGCCACTGGCCGCTTTGAGTGCCTTTTCATAGAAGCTCTTCTGCTTGTCTCATCCGGAGCTTCCTTCCTCCCAGGCTTTTTTGTTTTGTTCTGTTCTGGGCTTTGGCTGGATCCTTTAGCTTCATGAGATGAGAAGACAAAACGCTCTCCCTGTGTTTGCTGTGGCTTTCCTTATTTAATATCTCTTTGCAGACAGCACCAGAGCAGTTYCCCTCCGAAGAATTCCCGATATCCGAGTCCAAAGTCAATATGGATGTTAATTTTCCCGGGGCGGCTTTTGTTGTGGTGTCTTGTAAAGAAAGTCAATCTGGATTCCGCAAAGAGTAAGYTGCCCTTTCTCAAAATGAAGGTGATGGGGAGAGAAAAGCCAAATGGATTCTGGGAGCAGTGGTGGAGAAGAAGGGCTCATCTTCAGCTGTGAACATGTAGCATCTCTAAAGATGACTCACAGCTCTTCCCACATTGCCAGGGTGGGGAAATCACCTTATGCAGATGACCTTCTGGCAGGTGGTAGAGATGACAGGTGCCCGTTCACACTCAGCTTTCTGGTGTGCGTGGCCAGAGTCTGTATTAACACCACCTCCCTCTCAGCTCCTCTCTGTACAAGGCACCCTGGGCACGCGTCCTCGTGTACGGGCTTGGCCACAAAGTGAAGCGAACCGGCCAGCTGAACCTCATCGAGGCTGCCTGTTACCCGCGGGATGCGTCCCCGGCCAACACTGGGCTTGCACCTCCGCCCACGGCTGACCAGTACCCTTCTGTGGTGCTCTCCACAGACAGGGTGCACATCAAGCTAGGTGAGTCTGTCTTGGCTCCTGGGGATGCCAGCTGTGCACACCCTGCTCTGCTGCTTTTCTTTTGCAAGATAGGAGGGATTTTGTGTCTTGCTGGGTCCCAGTTTCTACAGGTAGTCCTGTTATTACAGGACTGCTTGGGGTAGGGTATTGGAGAGGCAATAGATTTAACAGCCTGTCAGAGGCTGCCCAGGCCACAGTAGGGATGTCCTTCCTTCACCAGGGTGCCCTGAGATCTGTACTGCTCAGAATGATCTCAACAGAGCAGTCCCRTCCTCACAGCCTCCTCGGCTCCCATGACCCTGTTGCCATTCCTCGGGTTCTCATTGAAACTGAATTCTGGAGTGTATAACGGGGCACTGACCAAAATGAGCACCTGCTCCCCATCCAGGTGGGAACCCACCTGCTCTCGACTCCCTGGCCTCCTTGATGCAGTCTCTGAGTTCTGTATTTTGTTGAGATCCCACCTCTGCACTGTGGAAGCTCTAGGTGCCTGTCATCTTCACAGACTGAGGCCTGCAAAAGGGAAAGCATCTCAGTCCCCATCTTGCACTGCTCCTCACTGGCATGTTTGACAAGAAAAGATGGACACGCTTTGGCCAGAGACAGTGATAAACTATATTTGAACTTTCAGCCAGAAAAATGGGCCTTCTATCTCACAGCCCTCATCCTTGAGACCTTGCATCTTTAGGCAAATGGATGAGGGACATTTCTTCAGTGATTTGGTCACTTCTAAACAACTTTAGGATCTCTGGATCTGTGTTCCTGGTGCTAGGGATTGAACCCAGAGCCTAGCACATACCAGGCAAAAGTTCTACCACCAAGCTACAAACCCAGCCCTTTCATGTTTATTTTATTTTTGAGACAGGATCCCACTAAGTTGCTGAGGCTGGCCTTGAACTTGCAATCTTCCTCCCCCACCCTCCCAAGTAGCTGGGATTATAGGTTTGTGCCACCACACCCAGCCTTTATGATCTTTTTTTTATTAGAGTCTGTTGTTTTCATAGCTGTTTTTAAACTTGGTGTTAAAAACAGAATCTGTCTGGGAGTRGGAGTCAGTGGTAGAGCACATGCGTACTGTGTGCCAGGCTGTGAGTTCAATCCCAGCACCATAAAAACCCCCAAATGAAAATTAAAAAATAAATTGAGATCTCTGCCCACCATTCTACAGTTACCACCATGTGACTGTTCACCCCAAAGAAGGCCAGCCAGCACGGTTCCTCCTAACTCACCCACACCCCAGCACACCAACTTGATCTGATCAGTGTTTGTCATGGGGCTTGGGATAGTGCGGGATGTGAGGAGGAGCGGGTCTAGAACTTTCTCCCTCTCACTGCAGGCTGCAGGGTCAGGCTTAGACCATGACACTAACAGAAGGCAGTAAGGTTGAGGGATTGGGGGTGTAGCTCAGCAGTAGAGTCCTGTGTTTGACGAGAGAGAGAGAGAGAGAGAGAGAGAGAGAGAGAGAGAGAGAGAGAGAGAGAGAGAGAGTGTGTGTGTGTGTGTGTGTGTGTGTGTGTGTGTGTGTCCTGGTAGTACCTTGGGTTTTGGGGACACCATGCTGGTCCACTTGGTATAGGCTTAAAAGTCTTGATGCAGTTACAGTCATGCAAAAGAATCAATTATTTCTTTTCAAAGCTGGGAGAGTTCTAGTGAAGTATAACTTAATTCCCATTCTGGGCATAAAGGCCAGTTGGGTTTGGTTTGAGGCAAGGTCTAAGTTCTGAGGCGGACCTCAAACTTATAATCCTCCTGCCTCAGCCTCCCAAGTAGCTAGGCTTACAGGTGAGCACCACTGCACCTAGACCACCAACTGGTTTCTAACTGAATGGGGGATGTTTATCCACCTCTGTTCCCATTGCTACTCTCTGCACACCAGCAAGTGCATCTGGAGCTGGCCTCTGTCCCCMCTGTGGCTGGGGCATCTGCAGTGTGGAGCCTCGGGACGTCTATTTATTCTCACCCTGAACTGATGAGGGTTGGGCTTTCTGCCTCTGGTTCTCCACACGCACCTCAGAGAGGTCCTTTTTGCAGGCTTGTTTGGCTCARATGCTGAGTCACACATTCTCCTTCTGGGCCCTTCTAGGAGTGTCTCCCCCTCCTGGAGCCGTGCTGGTATTGCATTCTCTGCCCCTGGAGTTCCCGCTGGCTATGGCCTTCGCAGAGCAGCTGCTGTCGTGGAAGTCGGAGGATGGCGAAGGGAAGTCTGAAGATGAGCCTGACACTATTCCCACCTCAGTCCTCCTGCAGGTGGTGGAGCTGCTAGGTGAGGCGTGCCTTCCCTCAAGAGCCACTGGGTGGCAGCRAGGGCCTGAGGAGGTAGCTGCAGATGAGTGGGGCAGGGACCACCAGCAGCCCAGGTGGCCGCCGCTTCCTCATTTGAGGTGGGCTTAAGAATAGACTGTAGCGTAGCCTAGACCCCTAAATGCATGATTTGTAGATTAAAAAACCATCATATTTAGGTGGCAACTAACCATGAAAATAGATCARTTTTGTCATACTTTATTTTAAGATGTAAATATGTGCCATTATTGTAACTTTAGGGGTGAAGAGTGGTGTGGGAATGAGCAATGCTACAGAATCAGGTGTCATGCCTGCACAGCCCCCAGAGGGGTGAAAAGGTGGTGCATTTTGCCATCTGCAGATTTACCTTAAAGACATTCTAAGTAAATATTGGACTTCCATTAATAGTTTGTCTGCAGATATGTTTTGGGATCCACAACTTACTCAGAAAAAAGTAAAAATTAAGTTGATTTATAGATGAATAAAGAGATGGATATATGTGTAATAAAGCAAGTGTAGTATTTTAATGGTGGAATGCAGATGGTGAACATATAATTTTCTTTACCGTATAATTTTTTCAACTTTTCTGTTTTTGAATTTTATCATAATAAAATGTTGTTGAGGAAAAACTGTAAACCCAGACACCTCTGGGGGTCAGATAATGTCAATGGGAAAAATAAAGAAGGAGAGGGAGGGTGTGCCCTGGCCGGCGGCTGCTAAGCCCTAACTGGTCACGATCTTTGAAGTTTCTGCCACAACTGGTATTTTCACTTCAAGAAAAGCTGGGACTCCAGATGCAATGTGAATTCCCCAGTTTTTAAATGCTGACAATTAAATGAAATTCTTTAAAGCAGTCCAGGAGGTGCCTGTGGGAGGTAAGCAGGGAACCACTGTCTGTGGAACAAGATGGCGGTAGCCAGTGCAGCTCATGGGTCACCATGTGCAGTTCTGGTGAACACTTCTTTCTAAAGCCTCTGACATAAATATCCAGTGGTCAAAGAAGGACAGTGAAGAAGGTTTACAAGAGCATTTGTAGCATCCCTCGGCCTGCTCCTGAAGACAGGAGAGCCTCTGTGTAGGTTGCAGGGGACCCCATGTTCTAGGATAATCACGAGCTTGTTTCCAGTGAGAATTCTCAAACAGCATTGCTCCTGAGAGAAAGCAGGGAACCCAGCCCCTCGTTTGTAGGTGCTGGACCTAACCAGAGGCTCCCAGTGGTCAGCCCCATCTCCAGCTCTGGAGACTCCCTGTCTAGTTATCTTCCCCTGTCCAGACCCGTCCTGTGTAGCCAGCTGAAGCCTGCTTTTTGCAGCTGAGAGCTCAGCAGACTCAGTGGGATGTGGGCCTTTGATGTTCATGAGCCCTAATGGCTTATGTACACAAGCTTCCTCCATTTCCGTTCAGTTCCAGGTAACGTGGACTATGAGAATATAAGATGCAGATCTTTTATGAGGGGGACCTTGGGACAGCTTATTCTAGATACTATTCCCCTAAGTCTTTATATTGCTACTATAAAGAGGGAAAATTTATATCTTTTCCCATAACTGTAAAAGAAATACAAGGAAAATATACAGTTGCTGTTACAAAATTCTAGCTAACTAGCGTTGCCTATCAAAAGCTTGGGGTTCATGGTGCACTCTGTTAAGAATAAATATACAGGGGCTGGGTTTTGGCTCAGTGGTAGAGCACTTGCCTAGCATGTGTGAGGTACTTGGTTCAATTCTCAGTACCACATATAAATAAATGAATAAAATAAAGGTTCATCAAATCTTAATAAATAAACAGAGGCCGGTGGTGCAACTGTAATCCCAGCAACTTGAGAAGCTGAGGCAGGAGGATTGCAGAGTCAAGGCCAGCCTCACCAACTTAGTGAGACCCTGTTTCAAAATAATAAAAAGGGCTGGGGCTGTAGCTCAGTGGTAGGGTGCCTGCCTAGCATGTGTGATGCCCAGGGTTCGATCCCCAGTACCAAATAAATAAACTTAACCCAAAGTAAGCCTTCTCTCTCCCTTCCCTCCCCTCCCCTTCCCTTCCCTTCCCTTCCCTTCCCTTCCCTTCCCTTCCCTTCCCTTCCCTTCAGTGCTAGAATTGAACCCATGGCCTCAGGCATGCTAGACAACTGAGCTACACGCCCAGCCCCTATCACACAATCAAGACTAACAGAAGTGTAGGAGGGAGTAGCTTTTCAGTGTGTGTGTTTCCATGCTGTGTGGTAAGGTGCGATTGTGCCCCAGGAGCAGGCATCTGTGCTTGGGGAGGCTCTGTCCTGATAACTTATCACCGCCTTGCTGGATGGAGCCTGGGGCACAGAAGCAGTGGCTTTGTCCTGACCGCTAGAAGCAGGCAGGCTTGCCATCGTGTGGCACAGAGGTTAAGGCCTTGACCAGCCTGCCAGCTCTGAGTCCTGGCTCTCCTTTGAGAACTGTATAATGTTGGGCCTGTGCTTCAGTCCTGAATYTGTTTCTTCATCTGCAAAATGGAAAGAACAACATAGGAACTGCCCGCGGGGCGTTGTGAGAATGCGTGCATCTGCTGCGGTGCCAGAACAGTGCCTGGCACGGAGTCGTTGCCCCGTAAGTGATCGCTGTTATTTTCTGTCTGCCTCAGGAAATTTCCTGTGGACCACAGACATGGCAGCCTGCGTGAAGGAACTTGTCTTCCACCTCCTGGCAGAGCTCCTGCGCACGGTGCACGCACTAGAGCAGAGGAAGCACCCCGCCGGCCTGTCCTCCTCCATTGCCCTGCAGCTCAACCCCTGTCTGGCCATGCTGATGGCCCTGCAGTCAGAGCTGCACAAGCTGTATGACGAGGAGACCCAGAGCTGGGTCTCAGGCAGCACCTGTGGGGGCTCTGGGGCAGTGGCAGCYGGTGACCAGGGCAGGTTCTCCACGTACTTTCATGCACTCATGGAAGGGTGCCTGGCAGTTGCCGAAGTGACTCTGCCTACCAACATGAGTGTCACAGCCAGTGGAGTGACCTCAGCAACCACCCCAAACCTCAGTGACTCGTCGTCCTCCTCCTCTTCTTCTCCAGGACAGACACCGCAGAGTCCCAGCCTCCTCTCCAAGAGGAAGAAAGTCAAGATGAAGCGGGAAAAGGCCTCCTCCTCTGGGAAGCGGCAGTCCTCCCGCACAGTGGAGTCCGACTCCACCGTGCTCAGCATCGGGGGCAGCAAGCCTGAGGACATGCTCTGGTTCCACCGCGCACTCACCTTGCTCATCATTCTGCGGCACCTCACCAGGAAGGACCCCCAGGGCCTGGGTGTGACCAGCGATGCYGTTGCAGATGCCTGCCAGGCCCTAGTGGGCCCCACTGCCCATAGCCGCCTGCTGGTGATCTCTGGCATCCCTACCCACCTGGACGAGGGCATTGTCAGAGGTGCTATCCGCAAGGCCTGCAATGCCCACGGCGGGGTCTTCAAAGATGAGATCTACATTCCACTGCAGGAAGAAGACCCCAAGAAGCCCAAAGACAAGGCCGAAGGTGGCGATGGGAAGGCCGAGCCGGAGAAGACGCTGGGCTTCCCCAGTGCAGACAGCCTGGAGGGGAGCACGTCCAGCAGCCTGGCCCCGGCCATGAGCATCAGTGCCTCTGCCTCCACCAGCCAAGCCTCTGTCTGCAGCTCCCAGGGGGTCTCTCAGACCGTCAGCGACCTCTCGGTGGACCCACTGCCATCCGGCCTGGAGTTGCCCATTCCTCCTGGCCTGCTGGAGCCCCACGTGGTGTCCAGCCAGGAGAGCCTGGACATTTCCCTCTGCAGCACTGGCAGCCTGGGCAGTCTGGGCAGCCTGGGGGAGGCTCTAGACAATGCGGAGACAGCCTCGGTGTCGGACATGGGCTCCATGTACACAGTCACTTCCCTGGACAACCAGTCCCTTGCGGCACGCCCCATCAAAGGCTTTGCCGTCGTGGAGGTAATGGCTCTCCAGCCCTGGCAGCCACTCACAGCATGGCCATTTTGAATCCCCTGAGCCTTTTTAAAAATCTTCCCAAATTATTTCCAAGGGATGAGCCAACAGGTGATGTTGGAGCACTTAGGGGCTCTCTGGGGCAGCTCCTCTAAGTCACATCTCTAAGACTGCCCCTCCAGGCCCATGTCCTAAGGGAAATGCAGGTCATGCCAACAGTAGCAGCAGGCGGAGGGGCTCACAGAGCTGACCTTCATGATGGGTGAGCTTTACCAGGTGCCCCCAGCATAGAATAGATGCACACTCTGCCCTGGGCAGTATGAGTTTCAGACGGTGGGCACATGGCTGACTCACTCCAATTCAAGGCTCCACTTGTTTATTGTGCTCCCTTGTTTAGAAATCCTGCATCAAGCCAGGCACAGTGGCCCACGCCTGTAATCCCAGCGCTCAGGAGGCTGAGGCAGGAGGATCGCAAGTTCAAAGCCAGCCTCAGCAAAATCGAGGTGCTAAGCAACTCAGTGAGACCCTGTCTCTAAATCAAATACAAAATAGGGCTGGGGATGGGACTCAGTGGTTGAGTGCCCCTGAGTTTAATCCCTGGTACCAAAAAAAAAAAAAAGAAAAGAAAGAAAGAAAAAAGAAAAGGAGGTGAAGTAAAAACTGTCCTCCCACCACTGGAAGTGCGAAGCGCCAGGCGGAGCACTTGCCTGCACTGCCCTCCCCAGTGTGGCCGGCAGCCACTTCTTTCAGTCTGTTGGCCTCCTCCTGGGGACTTCCTCAGCTCCATGTGGAGTTAACTCCCTGAGCATCAGGGTGAAGCCATGGGCCTGGCCAGGGTTTAGTGATAGATTCCCACTCGAGTTGTCCCCTAAGAAGTCCCCATTTGGGGTGTTTCTAAGGAAGTCCAGCACACATAAGGCGGGCAGCTCAAGATGAGGACAGGATTCTAAAGAAAGGTTGGGAGGGAAGATGCCATGCATACCGAGTGGTCACTCTCAATTCACATCCTGACCTTTTTTCTTTGTTCACCCAGATAAGATCCCGAGCCAAGATTGAGAAAATTCGAGCAAGTTTATTTAACAATAATGATTTGATTGGCTTGTCAAGTTTGGATGGTGAAGATGAATTGATGGAAATGTCCACAGAAGAGATTCTGACTGTATCTGTAGTGAACCAGAGTTTGTTTGATACTCAAGGGAGCCCGGGGTTAGAAGATTATTTTAATGATAAGTCAATTAAAGGTAGGTTTTGGATTTTAAAACAGAACCCTTTTGAGAGTAATTTCAGGTTTATAGAAAAATTGATCAAAAATTTCCCCTCCATACCACTGCCATTTCCTCTACTCTGAACATCTTGCATTCAAGAACTCCACTACCATCCCTAGGAGCTGCAGGATTTGAAATGAGTGGAAGAGTGACTCAGGGACTTGGGGAGGTGGGCACTCCTGCTCCAGACTCCCCTGGGGGCTTGCCTTCTGGGCAGTTTCTCCCTTTTGTGTAGCAGGGCTTCCCTTATCCAAGCTCATGTGCAGCCAGAATAAACAAAGAATTTGCTGATAATTCTTTGCTCAAATGCTCGGGGACACTGTGCCTTACCCTTTCCAACCCTCTCTTGGGAAAGAAACAGCTCCTGCTGCTGTTCACAAAGCCCCATTTCCCATCCCTTGTGTCATTCTGGAGACTTGTGGGGTAGGCCATGGCTGGCTTTCCCACATGGTACCAAGTGTCCATCCAGGACCCAGGAATTTAATGACTGCCCACAGAGCTGAATCCAGACGGGGCATGTGTCCAAGCCAGCTGTCCCCCCAGGCTCCCCTTCAGAAGCAGTGGGAGTTGTCTGTCTAATAATTAGCAACAGTTCTTTGTCATTATTTTGTTTTTATCAGTCTTTCTCAAAATGTTTAATCTGTGTTTTTTTCTCAAATCTTTAATATTGTTTGAGATTTCATAGTAGAGTCAAGTTGTTTTGTATTTTCTAGGAAAAATATATAACACTGAGTAGAGGTTTTGTTTTTTCAAATTATTGTTCCCAGTCATGGAATTTGGAAATATTCCCTCAGCGCTGGGATCAGGGGAAAGTAAGTGAGGTCTTAGGCCCAAAATGTAAGAGCTCCCAAAAATCAGTCATTAAGATACACGTATTTTGGAGAGATGGGAGGTCTAACTTAATGGTAGAACATATATCTAGCACATGCTAGGCCCTGGGTCCAACTCACTATCAAAAAAAAAAAAAAAAGATGAATAATATTTTCATACGATATTTTGAAAAGTCAAATATAATACAACTGAGCATGTGGTGCCCACTTTACAACCAGGTACTTGAGCTCAGGAGTTTGAGACCAGCCTGAGCAACCCAGAAAGACCCCATCTCCAAAGAAAAAAAATAATGTAAAATATCCACAAGGAACAAAAAATTAAAAATTAAAATGTCGGGCCGGGCTGTGGCTCAGCGGTAGAGCGCTTGCCTAGCATGTGCGAGCCCCTGGGTTAGATCCTCAACACCACATAAAAATAAATAAAATAAAGGTATTGGGTCCAACTAAAAAATAAAAAAAAAAATTAAAATGTCATGTAAGGACAGCATCAACATCAATGTTACCATTTTTTTCCTACCATATCAGGCTCCAGTACTGCTTGAACGTCACTGTTTATATTTTAATATCATGTGTATTTGGGTTTTGTTTTTTTTCCAGTGACTCCTTAAATTTCCGTCTGAGAGGCTACCTTGCTGCCCCTCAGTCCCAGCCCTGCTCCTTTGAGGGCGAGTATTTGCTCCCCCTTTCCTGCCCACTTGGCGTAGAGGAGTCTACATGGGATGCCTGAGGGTTTCCYAGTCTTCACACTTTGAATCTGGAAAGTGCTTGGGTTTGGGTAACAGGCTTTGACCTTGTGGGTTTTTTGTTTGTTTGTTTGTTTTTTTGCCTCAAATCTACAGGAAGTCTTTTCCCCTATGGCTAAATGGGCTCTGGAGAGTCTGGACAGAGTGGTCAGGGTAGAAGGGAGCAGAGAAAGCAGGAGTGCAGAATTGTTATGTGTCCCTGATGCCCCCAGGGAAAGGGCAGAGTGCCTTCTAGAGGGCTTGATTATGAACAAAAGAGTAAATATTTTCTCTAGCTCACGGTTTTCTTGTATCGGAGTCTCTGTCACACATCAAGAAAGGGCAGATCAACTCCCAGACCCCGTTTATCATACTGGTTTTGCAACATGTCCTCCAATAATGCAAAAACTCATTTAATAACTGCTCAAGAGCACGTGGCTCAAACCCAGGGGAGATCATTGCTTGCATGTGGCGGCRTCCAGAATGAGCTCTGAGGCATGCCATTCCAGGGGAGCCTGTCATTTCCAGGCAGCCAGTAGAGGGGACAAGTGCAGAGGACAGCAGCCTGGCCCAGATATGGCTCATGACCCACTGAAAACAGAGTCACAGGGCTACACCTTACTGCACCAAGAGTTGAACACATTGCTAAGGTGTGTGCCCAGAGAGGGGGATCTTGTCACCTCCAGTAGATGCCTGTTGTCTGCACTCAAAACTGCTTTCTGAAACTACGGGGCAAGTCCTGGCCTAGCGTGCTCATGGCAGAACTGTTTTGCCCTCCTTCCCTTCCATGGCAGGTGAGAAGCTGGTGCCTGGGGCCAGAGAGGTCCTGACAGAGATATTTAAGAGCTGTGCCCACTCAGAGCAGACGCTAAGCCTGACACCAGCAAAGCCCATCAGGGTCTCTGACATATATCTCAGCAAGGAGCAGATCAACTCCCAGACTCCAGGCAACCTCCTCCACATCTTCTTCACCAATGTCCGGCCTCCCAAGAAGGTGCTAGAAGACCAGCTCACCCAGGTAGTCCCCCACCCCCTGTGCCGTGCTGGGCCGCAGGTGCCCTTTTGGGTGAGCCTGAGACCCCTTTTCCCTTTTTGTGCTCTGCAGATCCTGAGGAAATACGGCGTGCCGAAGCCCAAGTTTGACAAGAGCAAGTACAGCAAAGCTGGGAAGGAGCAGCACCCCGTGAAGGTGGTGAGCACCAAGCGGCCCATCACCAAGCCGCCTGCCAAGGACAAAGCCGTGCTCAACAGTGTCAGGTGCACGCCTGCAGGACTCGGGAAGACGGGGCCAGCTGGCGGGCGGAGGCAGGGCCCCGAGCAGACACCTGAGAGGCTGTGGCACTCTTCTGCGCTGCCATGGCCTCCAGCCCTCACCAACTCTGAGACCGAGCTCACGGCAGCCGCAGCGTGTGAAAGCCAGAGCTGGCGGCAGGAGGGCAGACGGTGTGCGGTCCACTAGGCACGCGGTGCACGCCTGCCCAGAGGCCCAGAGGCTRAGGCAGGAGGGTCCCAAGTTCAAGGACAGCCCTGGCAATGTAGTGAAACCCTGTCTCAAAAAAAAAGGCGGGGGGAGCTGGGGCTATAGCTCAGCTGGTAGAGTGCTTGCCTCGCATGCACAAGGCCATGGGTTCAATCCCCAGCACCACACAAACAAACAAAAGTGGGGAGGAGTTCTAGGGATGTAGCTCAGTGGTAAAGCACCATACCCAGTACCAAAAAAAAAAAAAAAAAAAAAAAAGTATACATCTTTAATGTATAGACTTTTTTTTAAAAAAGCTATGCTAGTAATGCATAGTTATTATAGATTAGAAAGATTAGAAAATGCATATGTGTATATAGGGAAAACTGAACTATGGCTGGGGGTATAGCTTAGTGGTAGAACAACTGCTTAGCATGTGTGATGCTCTGGGTTCAATTCCCAGCACCAAAAAAAAAATAAAGATCATCCCAGACCAGCTGTTTCTAACACTGACACACAGAGCCTTTTATTTATGTGTGTGCATTATTTTCTTAAAGCATGTGCAGTGAAAAGCCACTCTTCTCCTCTGGCCTTGCCTTGGGCCCCCCTGCCTGGGACAGCCAGCATCACTCACGTGCCTTCCACATCATGAGCACATGAGTGAACATGGACATGCATAAAGCTGGCTGGTGTACACGTGTCTGTACCTCGCTAGTCTGTTTAGTACCAGTTTTGGAGATCTTTCCAGACCACTACAGAAGAAACTCCTCATCCTTTTTTCAGTGCTCCAACATGCTCCATATATGAATCTGTACATGTGCTTGATAGAATTTTCTTTAGGTACAAGTTTATGACTCTCAAATTTTCACAGTTGAAACTCTGACAGCCAAGTCTTGCCTGGCAGGAATGAATAGAGAAGTTGGTAAATAGCCAGAACAACTCGGTGTCCTTTCATTAATTTACTTCGAGTAGCACTTTTAAATCAGCACCGTCCGTTCTGTGGGTATGGAAGTCCGTGCTATTGGTGTAATGCAGTACTCTCACCCTGCCACATTTCAAGTGTTCCAGAGAGGAAAAAACTCGTGATTTTACTTAACTTTAATTTAACCCCAAATTCCTGCATCTGACGAGTGTCTGCTTTGTTGGACACTGTAGCTCTCGAGTATGTAGAAAGAATTTGAAAAGCATCTGCAAGATCCGGCACCTTGTAAAGCATTGATTTGCTGTGAAATTTGCTCAGTACATTTTTCTCACTCAGAACCAAGGCAGTCTTAACCCAGCCCTGTCTCAACCATGCGCCCTGAGCTGGTTAGCGGAGGGTTGGGGGAGCTCGTGTGTATGTGTGTGTGCTTCTGTGCCTCCTGCGAGGAGGTGTGGACATGAGGAATTCTAATTCCAGTGCTTTGGTCTATAGCAGGACTGCCTTAAGTGAGAAGAAACCAACTGTGAAGCCCAAGTCACCAGAAAAGAGCAAACCAGACGAAAAGGATCCAGAAAAGTCGCCCACAAAAAAACAAGAAGGTAAATGAGCAGCGTGAACGGGACACAGCCTGGGAACCACTCCTGACCTGGAGCTGCACAGCCCACTCAGACAGAGCCTCTGGGCTCCTGCCTGCCGGGCTCCCTCCCACGGGGATCCCCCCACTCCCCACGGTCTGAAGTTTGGGCAGCCTTTCCGAAGACTTTGGGAAATATTCCTGGCCATGCCAGGATGCCATTTTTGTTGATTGAGTTGAGGTGAAAATAGTAGTTCTGCAAATGCTGAACACCGAGATGAAAAAGGAAGAGGTGACAGGAGACTCCTGCCAGAGGCCCTGCCTGGTCCTCAGCTGGTGACCCAAGGCCCCAGCAGAACTGGGGAAAGCGGCTCCCTGTGATGTCAGTGGGGAGTTTCTGAGACTCACACAGAGGAGGGAGGGGGAGACCTGTTCTGTTGGGAAACCAGTGGGAGGCCGAGGCCTGGGGCCTCCCCAGTGCCTGCACTGCAGTGTGACCGGCCTTGGAGGCCTGGAGAAGGGATGGATCAGGTGGACCAGGTCACAAACAGGGATGCCAGGAGAACAGGTTGGGGACCCGCGTGCACAGTTCTTACCAAATTCCTGACGCTGTGAATACTCTTCCATCAGTCCCCGAGGAGAAGTACCTGACCTTAGAAGGGTTTCACAAGTTTGTCATCGACCGAGCCAAGCAGGACATCCGCAGCGTCTGGAGGGCAATTCTGTCTTGTGGCTACGATCTTCATTTTGAGAGGTAAGAGGGTTGTTATCCCTTGGACCAGCTAGCTCATGGCTTGGGTAGCAACTGCAAGCGACACCAAAACACAGGTTCTGGAGCCAGTCTGTCCCCCCAGAAGCCTTCTGAACTGTTTCCTGAATTCTCATAATCGTTAGGTGATTTTCCTAAACATTTCCAAACAAGCCCTGTTCTCTCCCTCAGCCCACTCAGCCCTGCCCATAGCAAGACGCACTCAGTACTGAGAGGGGCTGCCTTGCACAGGCTGCTGCACACATCGGTTTTCAGAACTGAGGATTGTCTGCTGCTCAGGGCCAGCATCTCACAGTGAAGCCTCATAGTCAGCCCTCAGGTGGGGCTCAGCATCATGACGGAAGGACAGGTTTTCTGGACTTGTTTTAGAAATCAGCAAGAGGGACAACCTTGGTTTTGTTGGAAAGTAGAATCACCTATTTGGGACTAGAAACTCATTTCTAACTGGGAAGGGACAAATTGGGCTAAAAAAAGACTGCAAATTGCCTAGTGCTCATTTGTGACAGAAGAAGGCCTGGTTCATGCTGGTCCAGGGTCACACGATGCCTCGACACCTCCTTCCCTCTTTGCCAGGGATTTGTCTAAGGCAGCCAGCCTAAGAGGGGCTGTGAGGGCCTCTCTAGGGATGGGGATCTAGGCCTCTCTATGAGACTCCTTGGATGGGACCAAGGTGGCCTGTAGTGAGGAGAGACAAGAAGGTGCATCCCCAATTTCCCCTAGGTACCCCTCCTGGGTGGTGTGGTCAGTGTGGTATGTGGCCACTGGAGGCGCTGTAGGCACTGGCCAGGTGCCTGCCTGCCTGCTGGTTGCTACCCTGCCTTTTTCGGATGAATTGCACAAGGTTTGGGGAGGAAGGCCGTGCACACTGGACACCTCATGAGTGTCTGCACACAAGGAGGCAATGCCCTGTGGTTCTGTGCCCCGAGGTGAAGGCTGCCTGATGCTCAGGGGACGTCTTTCCCAGTGTTGCCCTGGGAGCTGATGACTTCAGTGCAGCTGAAGAAGGGCATGCTGTCTGCAGTCTGCCTTTCTCCCACCACTCGGGGTCATCCGATTGTGGTGGTGTTGCACATGCTCCCATGATGCTCAGCGTTCTGTTGTTGAGCATGGACTAATCTACCCAGCAGAGCCTCAGGAGCAGGCAGTTGGGTGGCCTCTGCCCCTGCTGTGCTAATGCAACCCTCCTGAGCACCCTGCGGACCAGCCGGGCCAACAGCCCTGCACGTGGATGCTGGAATAGGACGCGGGGCAAAGGCTACTGATGTCCAGCAGCTGGCCCTGTACACATGGATGTGCTGGGCATGGCCACRTGCTTGGCAAGCACCCTCTCTCTGAATTCCTTTGAAAATGTGACAGGTTCTGGCACCATTTTGAGCTCATTATACGGGTAAAGAAATCACAGATGCCAGGCATGGTAGCGCACGCCTGTGATCCCAGCAGCTCGGGAGGCTGAGCAGGAGGATTAATCGCATGTTCAAGGCCAGCCTCAGCAAAAGCAAGGCCTTAAGCAACTCAATGAGACCCTGTCTCACAATAAAATGCAGAATAGGGCTGGGGATGCTGCTTAGTGGTCAAGTGCCCCTGAGTTTAATCCCTGGTACCCTCCCCCCAAAAAATTGAAAACACAGAAAGTCGGTATACCCTAACACAACAGGACACGTGCATGTTGCCAGAGGTTGCTCTGTGCATACTCCCCCCTGGAATGCTCCACAGGCCTGTTTTGAAAGAGCTCTTCCGGTGAGGAGCAGTTTGAACACCAAGAAAGCCCTGGAGGCTGGGCAATTCCAAGCACACTCCAGGGCTGGATGTGGCTCTGTAGGAGGAATCAGCTCTCATCCTAGAAGACAGCCCCCCACCTGGCCCCTCTCCCCKCTCCTGCCCCAGGTGTGCCTGCATYGATGTCCGACATGCGCAGAAGGCCTCAAGGAAGTGGACCCTGGAGATGGACGTGGCTCTCGTGCAGTACATCAATCGGCTGTGCCGCCACCTTGCCATCACACCTGCAAGGCTCCACCCCCACGAGGTTTACCTGGACCCTGYCGATGCCACTGACCCCAGGGTGGCCTGTCTCTTGAGTATGTGGCCCCTTGGAGTAACCCCTTCCCTAATGCCCAGTGGGGACATACCYTGTGACAAGCAGTGTTTAGAAGGGCTAGATGCCATTTAGACATCTGTTACAGAAATACTTAGGGGCTCCTTCTACCTGCTAGGTGTGTCGAGAGAGGGGGAGAGACAGGCGGCTGTGACACGGCCAAGGGAGTCTCAGGCCTGTTCCCGTGCTCACTGCAGCAGGGTGAGGCCACAGACTGAGAAGCGCAGGGCTGGAAGGCAGTGCCCACCACGGCGCTCACTCCGTGCACATGCTCCTCTAGGCCAGGCTGCTGTGGGAGTGTGAGAGGGGATGGCCACCTGCATTATCCTGATGGGGAAGCAATGTATTTTTGTTGAAAGCTAGGAATACATTCAGAAAATAAGGGGCCAGCACCCACACCTGGATCTGCCCCTGGGAGCAGGCCCTGCCAGCRCCTGCCGGCCCCATGAGCTGCTGCCTCACCTGGCAGCGGGGGCAGGGCCTTGCGCTTCTGGACACAAGGGGGTAAAGGTGGGCAAGGACTTGTCCCTAACTTCAGTCTCTTGTGGTGGAGTGTGCCACAGGTGTGAGGGTGACAGTTAAGGCAGCTTGCCAGTGGGCCTTGTAACCTGGCTGGGCGCAGTGGTGCGTGCCTGGTGTGGGGCCTGGTTGAAAGGCACCCAGGACTCTGCTATTTTTGGATTTCCTATAGGCAGTAATTATTTCAGGTGTTTGAAGAGTTAAACAACATAAAGGTGGGGCAGTAGTAGAGCCCTTGCCCTGCATGCACATGGCCTGGGGCTCCCTCCCAGAGCCCACCCGCGGCCCAAAGGTAGGCTGAAGGGCCTTCCATCCTCAGGGCCCCACACTTGCCTTCTGTTTGGCACATGTTCAGGCACGTTGAGGGTCCTTGCTCACTGATAGTGTCTCTGGGGTCCCAGGAATAAAACCAGCCCCCGGTCCCACTATACATGGTCCTCCCCAGTGACAGGGAYCTCCTGAGTTTGCTGAGGTAAGTGTGTTGGGCTGGCTTGGCRGAGGTCCAGCGTGACCGTCCTATCCCCCTCAGATGTGCCCATTGAGAGCCTGCGCCTGCGCTTCGCCTTGCTGCAGTCCCTCAACACCACGCTGGAGACCTTCTTCCTGCCCCTGGTGGAGCTGCGCCAGACACCCATGTACACCCACAGCATCGCGGCCCTTCTGAAGGAGGCCAAAGGTCAGTGCCTGGGCCTGCCTGGACCCTGCAGGAAGAGAGAGGTGACCTTTAAGGCACTAGAGCCAGAACCTCCAGGCAGAATGACCAGGCCTTTGTCCAAMCTGCCTAGAAGACGCCCACTGCCCACCTTATGTCTAGCGGACGGGCATCCTCTGCAGCAGTAGAGACCAACCACAGCCAGGCACAGAGGCCCACGAAGGTCATCCCAGCAGCCTGGGAGGCTGATGCAGGAGGATGGCCCAAAACAGTCAGCCTGAGCAACTTAGTGAGACCTTGTCCCAAATAAAAATTTTAAAAGGGGGGGTGGCGGTGCTGGAGATGGGCTTGTTGGTTAATACCCCTGGTTCAATCCCTGATACCAAAACAACAAGAAGAAAAGAAAGAAACTAACTACAGCAGGGCCAGGGCCTTATAACCTGGCTGGGTGCAGTGGCACGTGCCTGTAATCCCAGCGGCTTGGGAGGCTAAGATTGGAGGATCATGAGTTCAAAGGCAGCCTCAGCAACTTGGCAAGGCCCTAAGCAACTCAGTGAGACCCTGTTTCTAAACATAAAAAACAGGCTGGGGTTGTGGCTCAGTGGTTGAGTGCCCCTGGATTCAATGCCCAGTACCAAAAAAATAAAAATAAAAGTGGGCACTTTGTCTACTCAGTTTTGCACCCTCCTTGTTTGTGTCGACTGCAGAACAGGGTCCCCCGCTGAGCAATCAGAGGGCACAAGAGGGCACTGAGCACTTGGATAAATAGCACAGTCACGCTTCGCATTGCCACAGTGTGGCACTTGAGTGCCCTGCCTAGCACCTGCCTAGGGAAGACCCTGTGGGCCACCATAGCCTCTGATGGACACAGGGGTGACTGAGCAGGAAGGGAAGCAGCCCCGCCCATTCTTCTCTCCCAATTCCTCTCTCCAGGGCTGATCTTCTATGACACAAAGGTGACCGTGATGAACCGAGTGCTGAATGCCACTGTGCAGAGGACAGCTGACCACGCGGCACCCGAGATCACCTTGGACCCATTGGAAATTGTGGGAGGTAGGTAGGGGTGGCTACAGAGAGCAAAATGGTGGTGCCTAAAAACTGGGTGGGGCTGCCCAAAACAGAAGGAGCGACTAAGTCCTCCTTCATCTGGCTGCTGCTTTCATTGTGCTCTGGAGCCCCAGCATGTGGCTTCTAAGAAGCCCAGGGTGACCTCAGGGCCTCCTTTCCCAACAGCAAGAGACGGAGCCTGCCTTTACCCCATGGCCAGGCCTCACTGTGGGGCAGCGCAGCTGGGTTCTGATGGCCWTGTGCCTGCTGATCACTGGGCTCTGTCGTCAAAGGGCAGGGGCGCACCTACAGGACGGCTGGAGTCTGCAGTAGCCCCACACACTGGCAGAATGCAAGGACTTGAGGGAGGAGCCCCCTGGAGGCACTCAGAAGCCTCTAGAAGATGAGAAGGACCTGGGYCTCATCTTTGGAGGAGGGAGGGAGGTTCTAAGTGGTGGGAACCACTTAGCAAGTGCTTAGGCCTGAGACATTTGAAGATGCGAGGACAGAGGGAGGGCACAACCCAGAGGCCAGGGGAGCAGACCGAGTGYAGCAGGCTGCTTCCACGATGGAAGGGTAGGGGACAGCCATTGGAGGCTTTGACCCACTCCTCTCTCACTTCCCAGGGGAAATCAGAGCTTCTGAAAACTCCTACTTCTGCCAGGCTGCCAGGCAACTGGCCTCTGTGCCATCCTCTCAGCTCTGCGTCAAGCTGGCGAGTGGCGGCGACCCCACCTACGCCTTCAACATCCGCTTCACCGGGGAGGAGGTCCACGGCACCAGTAAGAGTCTCTCAGGGCTGCCCTAGKGAGTTTAGAATGCGGGGGCTCCTGGCTGATTTCCCCTGAGCTGCCCAGGAGCCCCCCSACGCTCTGCAGGAGCCAGGTCTTCTGGACTGACCAGGACCCACTGACCAACCCTATTCCCATGTGAGAGCTGGTGCCTACAGTGGTCTGGGGCGAGGCCACTGTCCTTGTGGTAGGTCCAGCAGAGGCAGGTCAGTTCTTTTCCCGGGAAGAGCCCAAGCTGAGGGGCTGGGTGGGCTCGGCTCAGGATACCAGGTAGGCCTAATTTCAGTGGCATGTGGCATCATTGCACTCTGCACTCTCTGGGAAATCATGTTTATTTAGCTCTAGACRTTCAGGAAGCGTCTCCGCCATGGGTGGGGGAAGAAGCCTCACTTCTCTTCAGCTGGGTGCACTAGGTGGGAGGGAGGAGGAAAAGTCCCCCAGCTCTGTCCTCCATTTCCCGSGGTCTGTCCTTGGGACACTATTGCCAGAAGTGGCAGGGAACTCTGGCCCCCTGGCAGACCCCCAGTTCTGGCAGAGCAGCTGATTCACTGAGTGCTCAGAACAGGCCAGGCCTGGGCCAGACACCCCGCCCTGCTCGGAGCAGCAGAACCCGACAGGAAGCCACCATCGGCCGCTCCACAGGTAGAAGAACTTGGACGCCACAGAGTCAGGTCACTCCCCAGGCTCAGCAGGTCTGAAAGCCCAGGCCCTTGGCCTTCCCAGTCTCTGCGGTCAGGAGCCTCCTGCCCTGTGGCCAGGCCCTGCCATCAGCCCCCATACTGGGCCCCAGGGGGGCCCTGTGTGAGTGTAGCTGACCTTAGGGCACCTACAGGGGCACTCACAGGGAAGTCCAGGGACAGATGAGGAGTTTTGTAAAAAAAACAAAGATATTTGAAAGGCAGCAGCAAAAGAGCTGGAAGATGGCCATCCTATGTGTGTCAGTGTCCTCTAAATCAGCACACACTCCAGGAGACCGCCTGCTCCCAGCAGGGCCCAGGGGAAGGAACAGGGACCAAACAAGCCTGCAAATCAGGACAGGCTTGGGCTGGGGCTGTAGCTCAGTGGTAGAGCGCTCGCCTAGCATGTGTGAGGCACTGGGTTCAATCCTCAGCATCATATAAAAATAATAAAATAAATACGTTGTGCCCACCTATAACTAAAAAATAAATATTAAAAAAAAAATTTAGGGGCTGGGGATGTGGCTCAAGCGGTAGCGCGCTCGCCTGGCATGCGTGCGTTGTGTCTGCCAAAAAATAAATTAATTAATTAATTTAAAAAAAAAAAAAAGTTCTCCTAAGAGGTTTAAATAAAGTTGAACTGACACCTTTAAAAAAAAAAAAAATTTAAAAATCAGGACAGGCTTGGCACCRGGAGAGGTGCTGCCCATCAGGCTGGGCTGCGACCTCACTGAATCCTCTGCCCAGCCTGCAAGGCTCCGCCTCTCTCCCATTCAATAGAGGCATGACTGAACCCCATTCAGAGATGTCCTGAGAGCAGGGCTACCCCTGGGTCACCCAGCGAGTGAGCAGCAGAGCAAGATTTTCCTCAGCTCCCCCAGTTCTGCTCCACCATAGCCACAGTCAGGTTGACAAGAATGGATCTTCCGGGCTAAGGTGTGGCTCTGTCAGAGGCTTCCTAGCCTGGTGAGGCCCTGGGTTCAGTCCCCAGCCCTGCAAAAAGAGAAAAGATTGATTGATCTTCCAGGTCTCACGGGTGAGGTGGGAGGGAGCCTCCAGGCGCTCCTCCTGGGGACCCCTGGGTGCTGATCCAGCCTGTCTGTCCTGCAGGTGGCTCCTTCCGCCACTTCCTGTGGCAGGTGTGCAAGGAGCTGCAGAGCTCTTCGCTGTCGCTCCTGCTGCTGTGCCCCAGCTCTGCTGTCAACAAGAACAAGGTGAGGCCATGGCAAGGCGGTCCAGTTGCAGGGTGGTATCGGCTCCCTGGTGTACGTCCTCCTGGCTCTCTGCCTTTCAAGCACCTCTCTGGTCTGGGTGGGCAGGCCTTGCTGTGCCACCTGGGTGAGCTTGGGCCTGTGGCAGCCTTTCCTGCCTGCGGTGGGTGGGCGCCAAGGACACCTGTTCACTGCTGCCTCTGCTCCTGCACCTCAGGGCAAGTACATCCTGACRCCCAGCCCCATCACCTACGGGGAGGAGCAGCTGCTGCACTTCCTAGGCCAGTTGCTGGGGATCGCCATCCGGGCAGATGTCCCCCTTCCCCTGGACCTCCTGCCCTCCTTCTGGAAGACTCTGGTGGGGGAGCCCCTGGACCCTGACCAGGACCTGCAGGAAGCAGACATCCTTACCTATAATTACGTCAAGAAGTTTGAGAGCGTAAGTGAAGGCTCATTTTCTCTGGGTGGCAGCAGGGCCCTGGGCCCCCCCCACCACCTCCACTTGGCTTCAGGTAGGCCCCAGCCCCACTATGAGGAATGATCCCCAAGAGAACGCTAGCGGTGTCAGGAGGGCTGGTGTCGGAGCTCTGGCCCCTCCCTGCTGACTGAAGAAATCGGGGGTCATGTGACCTGCTCTGCCAGGCCCTCTGCTTACAGTGTCTRTCCCTGAGGATGCAGGTGGAGGGTTCTTGGCAGCTCAAAGAGAAGAGGCAGGGGGAGGCACCACAAGAAGGTCTGGTTTCTTTATTTTTGGTCCAGTTTTTAAATGTTTTCACCAGTGCGTTATAGTCATACATAATACCAGGGTTCATCTGGATACAGTCATATATATAGGCAACATACTAAGGCCCACGTCAGTCCCCAGTACTTCCCCTTTCTCTGTCCTCCCACCCTTTTCCCCTCTCCTCTACTCTACTGAACCTTCCTTTTATTATATTTATTTATTTATTTATTTTAAAAATATTTTTTAGTTGTAGTGGAACACAATACCTTTATTTATTTATCTATATATCTATATATATATATATCTATATCTCTCTCTCTCTCTCTATATATATATATATATATATATATATGGTGCTGAGGATCGAACCCAGGGCCTCACACATGCTAGACAAGCACTCTACCACTGAGCCCCAGCCCCCGCCCTTCCTTTTATTTATATATTTTTTAGATGCATGCTTTATAGATACACAGGAAGGGGAAATTTGCCGTGGYGTGCTCACATACACACACAGCAAGTCAAGGGCCCAGTGATCTCTCTCATATCTAGTTTCATCTTTAAGAGTCGCTCAGGGGCCTCAGAAAGCCCGCAGGAGGTCAGCCCTGTGGATCATCTGGGATATACCACAAAGGCTTTGAAATGGAGTCCTTCCTCCCCTCCTTGAGCACACTTGAGACACCGGTGGAGGCCACGGCAACATCAGACCAGCCCCTCCTGGAGGAGCAGGTGGCCTGTGCCCCCCGGTGCTGGTGTGGCTGAGGCTGTTGGGCCTCCCTTCCTCCCGTAGCATCACTGAGGCCCAGGTGGGCCGGGCTCTGGGCCCACTTCCTGTCTTCATGAAGTTTCCAGACTGCTTCCTGTATGTAAGGGCCCATGCTGAGGGTTTCAGTCCATCCTCACAAGCCCGGGAAAGGGCGATGGGAAGTGCCCTGCTGGCCCTGGCCATCCTCGCTGGCAGAAGGGCCAAGAACTCCGTCTGGCTCCTCAGCTGGAGAACCATGGCAGCAGGGTGGGGAGGGTCTTGGAGAGCCCTTCCAGTCCTCCTCTGCAAGGGCCCTCCGTCTGCTCCCATGGCCGCAGACCTCCACAGGGCGGTTTCAGGTGATTCTACCAACAGCAACTTCCAGGGCCACTGAGGCACCTGGTGGCCAGGGTCTCTGTAAGCAGCCAGCCATGGGAGCAACAAAGCAGGGGTCTTAGATGTCACCCTGCTGCTCTGCAGAAATAGGACTGCTGAGTCACCCAAAGGGGCTAAGCAAGGGGTCTGCCCCCTGTGTAAGCATCTCTGTCAGACACGGCTCTGAGAAGTCCTCTGGGGCTCTGCATGACAGCAAGGGACTGGGACTGCAAGATAGTAATTAGGGATGCTACATGAATGCAGATAGTAGTCCAGCCAAGGCTTCCAGGTGAAGGGGACCACAAGGCCATTGAGGGAGGCTAGCTGTGCTTCTGCCAGCAGGATGCCTGCAGCCTTCACTGGGAAGGGTGCCACCGAGAACAGAGGGTGGGTTCCAGCACTCCCAACTGTCACTATCCTTAGCAGCTGCAGGCTGCTCTCCTCTGGATCATGTTGTCATCTCCCCTGGAGCCCAATACGCAGCTGCTCTCCTCTGGATCATGTTGTCATCTCCCCTGGAGCCCAGTACGCTTCTTCCAGTGACTTTTGGACCTTTATTCTGGCAAATGGTGGAAGGTAGTGGCCTGTACATGTTCCACAGGTAGAATTAAGTCTGGGCTCTGGTGGCAGGTGACAGAAATACCAGGTTCAACTAACTTAAGAATATTTAAAAATATATAGTCACTCTTTATAGGTTTGGCTTTGGGCAGAGCCGAATCCAGGTGTCTTAGGTTGGATGCAGTGGCGCACGCCTGTAATCCCAGCGGCTTAGGAGGCTGAGGCAGGAGGATCGCCTCAGCAATTTAGTGATGCTCTAAGCAACTTAGTGGGACTGTCTCAAAGAACAAAAAGGGCTGGGGATGTAGCTCAGTGGTTACGTGCCCCTGGGTTCAATCCCTGGTACCAAAAGAAAACTTAGTCTCAGTCTTTCCCAGATGCTGGCAAAGATGGCCTCCGTAGCACCAGGGGTGCCATCCTGTCATCAGAGTCACACCAGCATAAGAAGGCTGCCCTTTGAACACAGTATTAGGAAAAACCCAGGAATTTGGATCTCATTATCTGGGTCTAGGGCACAGACCCAAAGCTGAACTGACAGCCTGGCCTGTGTCCCACGCCCATTCACAGCCAAGCTGTGTGGTGCCCAGATAGATCTCTGAGTGCCACTGTCCAGGGGCATTGGCAGTGCGGCGGGCAGTGAGCYTGAGTCTGTCCTGCCTGTGTCCCTGCAGATCAATGACGAGAGCGAGCTGGAAGCCCTGTGCGCCGAGATTGCCTCCCAGCACCTGGCCACCGAGAGTCCTGACGGCCCCAGCAAGCCCTGCTGCAGGTTCACCTACCTGACCATGACGGGCGAGGAGGTGGAGCTGTGCAGCCGCGGCCGGCACATCCCTGTGGCGTGAGTGTACACAGGAGGGTCTGACCAAACCAGTCAGCCAGGGTGACAGCGGCACTGGGCCTGGGTCAAGTGACAGGTGGGAATTTCCCAAAGGAGGGGACATTGGGCACCAAGAAAGATGGTCTTCAGCTGAAGGCCTTTCTCAAGGGCACACCAGAAGCCAGGGAGGAGTGAGCTGAGCTGCCAGGACTGGGACCTCCAGGGCGCTTGGGTCTAAGGCCACTGGAGAGGCTGGGGGCCTCTGGCTGCAGCAGTGTGGCCCCAGATTCAGGAGCACCCTGTCAGCCTCTTGGGTGCTCTCCCTCACCCCAGGTGGGAGAACAAGGACATCTACGCTGCAGCCATCCGCAGCCTGCGCTTGCGGGAGCTGCAGAACGTGGAATGCGTGACAGCCGTGCGCGCGGGCCTGGGCTCCATCATCCCCCTGCAGCTGCTCACCACCCTCAGCCCCCTGGAGATGGAGCTGCGCACCTGTGGCCTCCCCTACATCAACCTCGAGTTCCTGAAGGTAGGCGGCCCTGGKCCAGGTCGGTTGAGCAGGCTGTGGCAGTGGACCTGGCACCCAACGTTGCCCTTACCTTTGATGGCAGGCCGCAGCAACAGCTTGTCTTCACACTCTGTCCTCACCATGGACTGTCACTGTAATCTCCATAACTGYCCTGTGCTTGTGGCCCATGTGTAGACTCCAAGGCTGGGATGGCTCAGCGGCGACCCCGGCCTGCTCACATCTGGGGTCTCTCCTCCCCAGGCCCATACCATGTACCAGGTGGGGCTAATGGAAACAGACCAACACATCGAGTTCTTCTGGGGGGCCCTGGAGACGTTCACCCAGGAGGAGCTGTGCAGGTTCATCAAGTTCGCCTGCAACCAGGAGCGCATCCCCTTCACCTGCCCCTGTAAAGATGGGGGCCCCGACACAGCCCACGTACCCCCCTACCCCATGAAGATCGCCCCCCCGGATGGCACAGCAGGTACTGGCCCTCCCACTCCCGTTCCAAGTAGGGACACTCAGACCCTTCTCTGTTTGGAACCAGAGCTGTCAGGCATGGCGTAACGAACGAACAGGATCCCACAGACCAAAATCCAAAACATAAGTGAGGGGAAGGGCCAGGGAGGAGCTGTGGCAACACAATCCTGATGGTGCAGATCTCCTAGCATTTTCAAAGAAAATGAAAACTCAGTATTTTTTTAATCTCCTAACTTTATTTTGGTGGGGGCTGGGGCTTAAGCCCAGGGTTTGGCTCATGCTAGTCAAGTACTCTACAACCCAAGCCATATCCCCAGCCCCAAATCTCCTTTTAAATACAGAAAAATAATTTTTTTAAAAAATTTTGCTGGCCAAACAAACCCGGAGGCAGAGAGGCCAGCCGACCTCCCTGGGCCTCCCATAGCCACATGCACCTGGTCCTCTGACGTTGGCCCCCATGTTTCTTCTGTAGGTTCCCCAGACTCCCGCTACATCCGGGTGGAGACCTGCATGTTCATGATCAAGCTCCCCCAGTACTCCTCTTTGGAAATCATGCTGGAGAAACTGCGCTGTGCCATTCACTACAGGGAAGACCCCCTAAGTGGCTGAAGCGAGCAAGCCCAAGAATTAGGCTGTCACCAGGGCACTCACTGTGCCAGCCTGGGAAGCCTGCGACTGACTGCAGGCGCATCCCTCCAGGGCCCAGCGKGAGGAGTTGGCAACATTTTGCTTTTCTGAACTTTCGTCCACGTTCTGGGGCCTCCTGGAAGACTTAACCTTTTGTCTTTGTACGTTTTGTGATGGGTTTGGTTCTTTTGCTGCCTGTTTGTGGTATATTTGTAGGATAGTCTAGTTCCCACACAGTTGGTGTCTAATTTGATCTTCCTGGAAGTTGTGTCTCATGATTCCCAGATTCTGATGCCATATGGCTCCTGCTGGTTCCTTTTCACAGGACATTGCAGCAGGAGGCTGGGCGTGACATAACTTCAGCCACACAAAGTGTCCTGTTTTTTCTGCAGTGTCTCCACAAACACCTGTGGCCAGCCCTGCCCACTGGCCTCAAGCAGGCATCTCTGAGGCAGCGCCTCCAGGCCTCCTTCCATCTTAAAGTGGTTGGGCCAGTGCCCAAACATGCAGGGGACACACAGGGAGCTTTTTGTGTTAATCTTCCTGCTTTAGAATCTGTTCCTGGGAATAAGCCCGTGGTGGTTCCCCATCTCCCACCAAGACAACCCCATCTGCTACCTGTCTCTTCTGGGCCTCTGGCCTAACAGTTTCCCCTGGACTGCTCAGGAGCAGAGGACACAAGGACATTCCTGGCCTTAGCTCAGAAACAGTCGGGATGTGTCCCAGCTGTGGGAGTTGAGGCATACTCAGAGCTGGAGGGACAGTGATCGAATGGGGCCTTTTCTGAAACCGCAGGAGTGAGAAGCACACGCTTCAGGCCTGGCCCTTCTGTGCTCAGAAATGGCCCTTCCTCCCAGCACGTGAGGGTGCAGTGGAGGGGCTGCTGTGCCCATTTTTAAGACTGTCTGAGGTGCTCTGCTCAATTCAGGGTCTGCTTCAGAACTCAGACCTTCAAGTCCAGATGGAGGCTCCAGGGGGTCCCTCTACCCCTCTGGTTGGCCTACCCAACACTCCTAACCCCGAGTGTGTGTGTGTGTGGTGGGGCTGAGCTGCCTCCATGCTCAATCGCTGCCCCAGTGCATTTGTGCCCCAAGTAAGTCTTTGTCCAATGGTACTTTGTTCCAGAGCAGCACATGCCATCTTGCTGGACGCTGTCATTTTGGGCCTTGCCAGTTCTTACAGAACTACAGCATTGTATTTATTGTATGATATTGTGCATACAGGAAGCCATGTGCCAGTGCTGTCTGGAAGCTTCAGTGTGAGGACTGGCTAAGAAAAAGGATGTGCTCCACTTTCCTCTGCCATGACCCGGCCAGCTGGAAAATGTGTGGGTTTCAGGGTTAGAGCTGTTCGCATCTATCTCCTCCCTGTTAAGCTTAGGAAATGCAGTAAGGACCATTTCAGAAAAGATTCCCCAACCTGATGGCAAGACAAACCTAGGATCAATGGTGACGGCTGTGTCAGTGTCACATGATGCAGGAGTTGCCCCTAGAGGCGAGGCCAGGGCCCGAAAAGCAGGTCCCCTGCTCAAAAGGAAGATGGTCKGCTGCTGCCTCCCCGGGGCCACAGCCCCCTTGATGGGGGAGGGGGGGGGTCACATCAGGAATATGTTCCTGACAACAAGGATCCTCTTATTTCTGCAAAATGAAAGAGCCTTGGAAATGACTAGAAGTGGTTTTTCCTCCCTGTATCTCTGATTCTTGGTTCCCTCCAATCCTTATCCCTTGAATGGACTTGGGTTTCTGTCAGCTTCCTCCCCAGGAGGGGCTCAGGGAGCTTCTGTTGGCCCATCACTCGGTCACATGACAGCTGTGAGTGAGATGTCTGCTGCCATCTCAGCTGCTGCGCCCAGAGAGCACACTGAGGTCCGGACAGATCCAAACCTTGGCCCTAAAAATATGTGCTGTAAAGTGACTTGATGTATATTTATTCTAGTTATTTATGGTTGCATTTAACAGACTTTTCATTCAATCTGATGCTATTTACACCATGCTGTGTAAAGGAAGCTCACTACAGGAAAAAAGTCTCACCAATAAATAACCTTCATCTAATTCTGATTTACCCTAAGAGTGTGTGATCATGTACTCTTGCTGAGCAAGTTCAAAGGCTGACATGCTCAGATGGCTCTGATACTAAGTGCCGCCAAGTGGCTAGGAATTAAAATGTTTCTAATTATTATGGTCTCTTTGGACTTGACGTGATTCTTAAACGCTTTATGCTTATGAACTACCCAACCCCTTGAGTCTATGCTTTTCATGTAGAAAGTGTAATTAAAAGGGTGGAAAGCCAAGATCAAGGCTAAGGCTGACCCTGCATGTTCTGTTAGTGGGGATTTTCTGTAAGCAGGCTGTTGTACGGAAGCATCTGACCATCCTAGACCACAGTCCTCCTTCAGGGGCAGCCTGCAGCCACACACATGCAGAGGGAAATGAATGCAGGAGTGAGCTGGAGACCAGGAGCGAGCTGGAGACCTGGCTCGGCCCTCTTGTTGCACAGGGAGCCACCACTGCTATACCTGGGAGAACCCAAGGCCATTCTGATTGTTCCCCTCCTGCTGCTTTGTGGGGTGTCTTCATCCACATCACTTCCTGTCCATTTTCAACTCCTCCCTTCTTATACTTGAAATGCTATCTTTTCATGGAAGGGTCCTGAACATGTATTCTCTTGTACCAGGGAATGAACCCAGAGGCACCTAAGTAAAATACAAGTTTTATTAATTAAGAGGTGTGTATTTTACTTAAGAGTCGCTTCAGGTAAGCTGCTGGGGCTGGCTTTGAACTCGTGATTCTCCTGCCTCAACCTCCCCAGCCACTGGGATTATAGGCTGAGTATGTCTCTATAGGGAATGCAAGGGCCGTGGATGAGGAACAAGTGGCTTTTCTTCCTTCTTTCTGTCTGTGTTTTGAGGTGCTGGAAACAGGGAACACAGTCACCACTCGCAGCAAGGAGCCCTATAAGGCTTGAGAAGCCAGAGAAAGAGGCCTAAGCTCCCAGGATCTGCCTGCTCACCAGTGCTGCATCTATCTCTTTAGACTGCCTCTCAAAAACTAAATCCATCAAAAAGGATGCCACCCAATAAGACTCATCCTCAGGAGTCAGCAGAGAAATACAGATTAAAACTGGTAGAAAGACAATCACATGGTTGAGGAAGGTATGGAGCAATCTGACTCCACCCACTGCTTTGGAGCCGTTTTCGGAAAACTGTCACCATGTACTTGGGAGTTACCAACAAATCTACACATGGCATTCACCAAAATTTGTGAGCACGGTGGCGCAYACCTGTAATCCCAGCATCTCGGGAGGCTGAGGCAAGAGGATCGAAAGTTCAAAGCCCGCCTCAGAAAAAGCAAGGTGCTAAGCAACTGAGACTCTGTCTCTAAATAAAATACAAAATAGGGTTGGGGATTTGGCTCTGAGGGAATGTGGCTCGAGTGCCCCTGAGTTCAATCGCTGGTACCAAAGCCCTTGAAGAGGAGAGAACCAGACTGAAAATCTGGACAAAAATCAAAATCTCTCCACTGAGCACCAACAAGGCCTCTCCCAGCCACACAGCAGATTTTTTTTTAAATATTTGTTTTTTAGTTGTAAGTTGAACATAATACCTTTATTCTATTTATTTTTATGTGGTGCTGAGGGTCGGACCCAGGGCCTCACACATGCTAGACGAGCACTCCACCCCTGAGCCACAACCCCAGCCCCCAGACAGCAGATTTTGTACCAAGGATTGAACCCAGAGGCACTTAACCATTGGGGCACATCCCCAGCCCTTGAACTAAGACAGACAATGACATCTGGGGATTTCCAAGGAAAATAAAGGCCAGCTGAGGGCCCTGTGGTGAGAGCTTGGAAGGGCTGCTGAGTGCCACACTCAAGACACAGCCAGGAAGCATCAGAGGTTTGAGGGAAAGTCTGCAATAGTAAATGCTAAAACAAAAAGTTCCCAGATACAGAAGAAACCCAAAACCCAACTATGCCACACAGGGAGTAAAAAAAAAAGGAACCATCCACTAAATTGAGTGTGTGTGTGGGGGGGTATATTGTGAAGATAAAAGACATGGGTTTTGAAAAGTAACATAATTTTGCTCTAAGGATGAAAGAACAAGGTTAAGAAAATCTCTCATGAAATAGGATAAAAACAATATAAGCAGGGCATAGGGATGCACACCTGTAATCACAGCAACTTTGGAAGCGGAGGCCAGAGGATCACAATTTCAAGTTCAAAAGTTACCAAGAGCCTGATCTCACAATAAGATTTCTAAAAAGGGTCAAGGATATAGCTCAGTGGTACAGTAGCCTTGGGTTCAATCCCCAGTTCCCMAAAAAAAAAAGTTTAGAGAAAATCCATGAGGATTTGAGAGTGTCAACATCTAACTATAACTAGAATCTTTCAAAGGGAGAAAAAACAGGCCTTACAACATAATGATTCAAGAAAATTCTGAAAAAGGTCATGAGTTTCCAGGCAGAAAGTGATCACTTAATACTAGCTCTCTGAATGGAAAAAGCACACACCAAACATGGGGAGGTTTCAAATACCAAGGAGAGAGAACCTGAAAAAGCTTCAAAAGAGGAAATTTAAGTGCAAGTCCAAAGACATCAGACTTGATAGCAACCTAGAAAGTAAAAGTAAAAAATACATCCAGTGATACTTCTAATTTTAGCCAGACCTACCAAAAAGAAAAAAAAAAAAGCAATGGAAATTACACAAATGATAGAATTACTTAGTCATGGCATTAGGCCAATTTTCCATGTTTAAGAAGCTAGCAAAATGTAAGTAAGTATAGACACGGAAAACATAAACATGTTGAATTTGAGTTGCTTTGAAGTGAAAAACACAAATACACTGAATAAATTAATGGCAGGTTGGAGATGCAGATTTAATTTAAAGGCAAAAAGCAATGGCAATGACCATCTGAACACAGCAAAAAGAATAAAATAATGTGAAAAGAACATCAGTAAACTCGGGCAACTTCATATGATCTAATACATGGGGGCAAAGAAACAAAACGATTAAAGAAATATTGGCTAAAACTTTCCAAATTTGGTGAGAACTATAAATCCAAGGACATAAGCTTAATGAACCTAAGCATAAGAAACAGAAGCAGGCAGGGGATGTAGCCCAGCTGGTAGCACACCTGCCTCGCATGCACAAGGCCTTGGGTTCAAACTGGGAACAGTGGCACACCCCTATAATCCCAGCAGCTCAGAAGGCTGAGGCAGGCAGATGGCAAGTCCAGCTTGAGTCCAAATTCAAGGTCAGCCTTGGCAACATTAGTGAGACCTTCTCAAAATAAATAAAAAGCTGGTGACAAAGCACCCCTGGGTTCAATCTCCAGCATCACATACACACACAAAAAAAGGGGAGAAATAAACACCTTTCCAGTTTGTACTATGTCAAACTCAAGCAAGTCCTTCAAGCAGAAGGAAAACACACCAGATAGAAATCTGGATCTATAGAAAGAATATCAAAAATAACAATTACATGGGTAACTTTTAATAGAAATGTTCCTCTTCCTAAAACTCTCTAAAAGGTAATTGTTCAGTCAAGAGCAGTAGTGCACCTGTCGCCCCAGTGACTCAAGAGGTTGAGGCAGGAGGACTGCAGGTTTCAAGTCAGTCCTAGCAACTCAGCAAGGCCCTAAGGAATTTAGCAAGACTCTGTTTCAAAATTTTACAAAAAGGCTGGAGATTCATGGCTCAGTGGTTAAACATTCTTGGGTTCAAACCTGGTACCAGAAACAAATAAATAAAATTGAAAAATGCCTGGGATGTAGCTCAGTGGTAAAATACTCCAATATGCAGTGGCTGGGAGGTGGGTAATGGTTCAAACAACACCTACTGGGGGATTTATAACAAATATAGAAAAAAAAGGTGTTAATAATTGCACAAAGGCTAGAAAAAAATGAAATATGCTACGGTAATACCAAAAATAGAATGGTACAATAGCACTTGAAAGAAGACCATAATAAATTAAAAGTGTACAAGAGAAACCCTAAAGGAACAATAAAGAGTCCTAAGTAGGTACAGTGGTACACACTTATAACCAAGCTACTCAGGAGCCTGAGGCAAGAGGACCACAAGTTCAAACCAGTCTGGGGGATTTTTTCAAAATAAAATTTAAAAAGAGGCACGGAAGCATTGGGAATATAATTTAATGGTGAGAGCTTGACCAGCATGATCAAGACACAGGGTTTAATCCCCAATACCAAAGAAAAATATAAGCAAATAGCAAGATCGGTGTGTTTAAGCCCAGCTACCACCAGTATAGTGGCACACGCCTGCACTCCCAGTAATTTGGAAGGCTGAGGCAGGCACATCTCAAGTTTCAGTTCAGCCTGGGCAACTTAGTGAGACCCTGTCTCAAATAAAACATTTTTTTAAAAGGACTGGGATATAGGTCAGTAGTAAAGTGCTCCTGGGTAACAAAAAAACAAAAACCCAACTACCACCGGACACAGTGGCACATGCCTGTAATCCCAGTGGCTCAAGAGGAGACAGATGGACCTCGAGTTAAAAGCCAGCCTCAGCAACTCAGTGGGGCACTAAGAACTCAGTGACAGCCTGTCTCTAAATAAGATATTTTTAAAAAGGGCTGCAAGGGCTGGGGTTGTGGCTCAGCGGTAGAGTGCTCACCTAGCACATGTGAGGCCCTGGGTTCGATCCTCAACACTACATAAAAATAAATAAAATAAAGGTATCATGTCCAACTACAACTAAAAAATCAATATTTAAAAAAAAAGGGGGGAGGCTGGGAGCCAGTCACAATGAAACATGCCTATAATCCCAGTGGCTCAGGAGGCTGAGACAGAAGGATTGGGAATTCAAAGCCAGCCAACAACAGCGAGGGACTAAGCACCTCAAGGAGATCCAGTCTCTAAATAAAATCCAAAAATAGGGCTGGGGAAGTGGCTCAGTGGTTGAGGGCTCCCGAGTTCAATTTCCATCACCAAAAAAAAAAAGGGCTGAGGATGTGGCTAGGTAGTTAAGTGCCTCTGGGTTTGATCCCCAGTACCAAAGGGGGGGGGGGACCCAAAACAAAAACCCAACTACCATAAATAATTAAATGTAAATGGCATAAGTACCCCAATGAAAAGGCACAGACTGTTAAATTGGACCCATAGCAAATTAAAAAAGAAAAGAGAAAGAAAACTAACAGCACAAACGTGGAAAATAACCAAATATTTGAAAAATAAATTTCACACTAATAACTACCCACTGCTCAAAGAAGAAACAAAAGGAAAAATTGTAAAATATTTGTAATGCAATGAAAATTAAAAAGCACATCAAGGTTTGTGAGATGCATCTAATGTAGCACTTACATGGAAATTTATACCAATGAACACATAATAAAATATCTCAAATCAGCCAAAACAAGTCAATTTTGACTTTAAGAAACTAGAAAAAATTAAGATCAAGAAAGGAAATGATTAGCCAGGCACAGTGGCACTCGCCTATAATTTCAGCAGCGGAGAGGCTAAGATAGGAGGATYATAAGTTCAAAGCCAGTCTCAGCAACAGCAAGGTGCTAAGGCTGAAACAATTCWTCAGTAAGACCCTATCTCTAAATAAAATACAAAATAGGGCAGGGGACGTGTCTCAGTGGTTGAGTGCCCCTGAGTTCAATTCATGGTCCCCATCCCAAAAGGAAATGATTAAGATCAGAATGGAAATTAATAAAATGGAAACATTAAAATAAAAGAAATCAATATTATCWAAGCAAACTTGTGTGGGCATGTGGTGCTGAGGACTGAACACAGGGCCTTGAGCATGCTAAGCAAGTGCTCTACCACTAAACTATACCCCAAGCTCCTCAAAGTGGAATCAGTAACACTTATAAAGCTCTATATCAGGGATTGCCATACTAATCCAGATGGTTTTGTAAATAGTTCTGTTGTGAACACATCACCCATTCATTTGGATACTGTCTATGGCTGCTTTCCTTCTGTAACAGCATTGATGAACAGCTGCAGCAGAGACCATGATTTGCAAAGTCTTAAATATTTACTACTTGGTCTTTAAGAAAAAGTTTGGCAGTCCCTGCTAAARTCAAACAGATGGAGGGAAAAAAGACAAATGATCAACACAAGGAATGAGAGAGGTGATATTACAGATTTTTTTAAAAACAATAAACACTTTTGATAAATAACTTAATGAAATAAACAAATTCCTAGGAAGATAAAAGCACTTTTATAAATCAAAATAAATAATAAATTAAACAGCCCTTTAACTATTGAAACTGATAAAAGATAGCATACTTATTCATGAAATACTACAAGTAGGAACAAGACTATCACCCCTTCTATTCAACATTGTTACTGGATTTTCAGGAAAGAAAAAAAATACAAGGTTTCCAGATTGAAAAGGCATAGGTAAAATCATCTTTATTTGCAGATGACATGATGACATACACAGAAAAGCTAATAGAATCTACCAAAAAAGTTACTACAGTTTAGCACGGTTAAAGGATACAAGATTCAATACTAAAAATAAACAAACAAAAAACAATCATAAAGCCAGATGTGGTGATACCCGCCTGGAATTACAGCTGCTTGGGAGGCTGAGGCAGCCTTGACAGATTAGCAAGACCCTGTCTCAAAATGAAAGAGAAAAACAAAACCAACCAACCAGGGGTGTAGCTCAGTGGGTTCAGTATCTAGTACAAAGAAGGAAGGGAGGGAAGGAAGGAAGGAAGGAGATAGAGAAGGAAGGAAAAAAAGGGAAAAGGGAGGAAAACTAGCCCTCATTATATCCCTTGGTCTGGCTTCTTCCTCTTAGGATAATTCTTTTCAGAGTCATGGCTATGCCAAGAATTAGCTACACAGTCTTATATAAATTAATATTGTTACATATGTTTCATGTTACACCCATGAAATGGGGCAATTCTTTACCACCCCCACCACCACCAGTAGGTTACTGGGAGAACAACTGAGCTCAAAACTACCTATGGTAGGGCTGGGGATACAGCTCAGTTGGTAGAGTGCTTGCCTAGCATGCACAAGGTCATGGATTCAATCCCTAGCACCAAAAATAAAAGACCTATGATGCTAACGATCCTGTGTGAACCATGACGTTATGAGGGGGATGAATAATCGTAAGTCTCAACTTCTCAGGACTGGAGCTTTTGAAGAATCTGCCTTTTTCTCTTCAGTTGGAGGTAGCCCCTTATTCCTGTCATTGCCAGAGTTACAGCAAGCCTCAGTTTCCTCAAAAATGGAGATGAGAATACTGCACCTTCAATGTCTGGAGCACTCTGAGAAGGAGCCCACACTGGAGCTCCATTCTCTACAGAAAGCACAGGAATATGAACCACAAGACTTAGCTGAGCTCCAAGTACAAACTTTATTTCTATTACAAGAAAGCTGATAATAATTATAATAGTAACATAAGAAGGGAAAGGGGCTCTGACACTTGGTTTTCAGAGCAAGTGTGAGACTGGGGCTTTAATCCTCATCAGGGCAGAGCCCAGTGTGGCCCTAGTGGGAACAGGAAGCCCTTAGCCCTCCCCATTAGAGGGCAGTGAGGACAAAGGAGTCACCATACCCACAAGGAGCAGAAGGCAGTGATGCCAAATGACAAAGAAGTAGCCCCTGCTCCACACACCTCCAGCTAACTCTTCCAAAGGCCTTGTTCCTAACATCCAGCAGCTGGCCTGAGCACTTCACCAGAGCTGCTCCATACACACGCCAGAGGCCCAGAGTCTGGAGCAAGCAGGGGCAGTACATGGGAGAAGTTGCCCAAAAGCCCCCAACTTAGGACCCCACAGGTAAGAAAATCATTCACTGATGGGAACCAGATTTTCAGAACCCTCTACTCCTTCTACCAGGACCACAAAGCACCAAGAAGCAATGGTGATGGTATTTCAAAAGGTGGAGTCCTGGTGGGCTAAGAGGCCATTATCTGTATTTCAATGCTACCAAGAAGTGGCAGCTAAGGCTGAAACAATTCCCAACAGCCTCCCTGCTAACCCTCCCTCAAACCCCCAAACTCCCACAGCACAATCTCAAAAGACACAAAATGGCCATAACCTAGAAAAAGAATAATCTTCCCCTGCCTAAAGAGCCAGAGAGGCAGGGCCTGCACCAAGGCAAGGGCTGCTATGCATAGGTAGGAACCAAGKCGAGGGTTTCTGCAGACACCACTACTCCTCCTCCTCTTCCTCCTCTGCATCCCCAGCTCCCTGCTGCTTCGGGGGCTTTGCCTATTGAACAACACAAATGAAGAAGTTTCACACAGGAAGTGAAAGAGCATTCCTCCTCCCCCGGACCCCTGAGGATGCCCAGCTCCCACAGAYGCCTCCTCAACAAAAGCCAAAGAACAGCCAGCCCTTCATTCTTCGGCTTTTCATGAAGAGGCTCCATCCTCTATACAGCCAGCCGACTTGCAGCAACTTCTCTGACTTCAAAAGCCTCACCATTCCCACCTGTGTGTGTTCTCCCTGAGTATTATGTGCTGGACCCTTAGTTACCTTTGCAGTTCTRTTGCGGTAGTTGGTAGCTGCAGGGGTGACCCGGGAACTTCTGCCACCTTCACTCCTACCACTGAAAAAATAGGATTAGAAACCAGTTCCTGATATGCTCCTGAGTAAAGGTCCAAAAACTRAGAGTGAATAAAACAGCTGGTAGCTGAGCAAAAAAAGCAGCCTTCCACTAGCAGACCAACAAAAAACCTCCTGGACATAGGACATAGTGGTACACACCTGCAATCCCTGTGACTCAAGAGGCTAAGGCAGGAGGATCGCAAATTCAAGGACAGCCTGTGTAATTTAGTGAGACTGTTTCAAAATAAAAAAGGGCTAGGATACAGCTCAGTGTTAGCGAGCCTCTGGGTTCAATCTCCATTACCACAAAAAAAGCATGGATATGGAATCAGATGACAATGTGGGCAAAACCGAAACTCTTCCCCATGACACTGAGGACATAATTCAGTGGTAGAGTACATGCTTAGCATGCATGAGGTCCTGGATTAAATTAGCTGCACACACCCCAAAAAAGACAAACTCCTCCCTCCTTTGCATGAACTGTAGTCTTACCCAGGCTGGACCAGAATGTGACTAGACCTTTAGTCCAAATCCTCTTCAGCTACTCCCAAATTCCATTCCCACGCTAGATTCTTACCTTGCTCCATATCTCCCAGAAGGCCCAACGGGGAAAGAGGACACAAGGTATTCTGGGTGGAGATTTCGAACTGAGCATGCATCAGTGTCCATGGCCCCATTCTGGCTGCTTCTATTTCGCCCTCGGRTGTCCTGGCTGTCTGAGTTGTTGAGTTTCAGCACTCGAGGAGGGTTGGGCTGGCACCCAGTTGTAGAGCCTGATGTTGATTTTGATAGTCGGTTACAGGTAGTTGTAATATTATTAATGGGTCTGCTGGGGGGCAGAGGGTAGATGGGTCYTTTAGCTATTTCCTGCTTGATATCATCCATATAGCCAGAAGACAATTCTCCTAGGAAGAGAACATAGTTACACCTTTAGGAAAAAGCCTGCTCTTACCATTATTGATGGATTCAGGGTAAGAACAAAAAGACTGCAGAGAAGACAACTGATCACCTGCAAAGGCTACTGGGGCCCATGACCCCAAGAGAGAATCAAGAACACTTACTTTGTCTACTCTGCACATTAATTACCTGAGTCAAATACAGCCTGTTAACCATTCATCAACATGAACAGTTATGCAAGCAAACCTTGAATGTTTTTGGTTTTTGGTTTTTTGGAACCAAGGATTAAACCCAGGGCTGCTTAACCACTGAGCCATGTCTCTAATCCCCCATCCTTTTTTAAATTTTTTTTTAGTTGTCAATGGATCTTTCTTGTACTTACTTAATGCGCAGTGCTGAGAATCAAGCACTGTGCCTCATAGATGCTATGCAAGCACYCTAGCACTGAGCCACAGCCCTAGCCTCCTTTTTATTTTTATTTTGACACAAGGTCTGAGTTGCTGGGGGCCTAAGTTGCTGAGGCTGACCTTGAACTTGCAATCCTCCTGTCTCAACTTCCCATGTCACTGGGATTACAAGCATGAACCCTTCTAATTGTTTTTTAATTGTGAAGTGATAAGTTTCAATAAGTTTACTTGCCTAGTCATAAGGATCATAAGTAATATTAGAGTACAGAGATAGGAAATCTACAGGTTATAAGCTCTGACTCTAAGTGTGTCTCACAGCTGTCCTTAAAGCCATTACCCTATCAGTCTATACTTAGGACAGCGTAGTCTAATGTGGAACTACAGCCAGCTGTAAAATTTCCTAGGAGACCCTACAGGACTTAGTAACTCAAGATCAGGTAACTCTATTAGAGCCATAGAAATGATAATCAGGCCCAAGCCAACAGTGGACCTGTGGCCTGGGCCATGTCCTGGCTAATACCCTGGTGTCTGACACGCCTCCTGGGCAGCTCTGGTGAGGTCTCTTGAAGTTGAGATGGCTGTTTAGGAATCCCCTCAATCACATGGTTGTTTGCCATGGCTGGGCGTTGGTCACATTGGTCCTAAACAATAAAAGTCAGAATTAGTACCTCAGAACTGAGAGTGATGAGAATAAAGGGAAGAACAGCTGGTTAGGTGATCAGACCCCATCTGGAGGGGGTTCTTTGACAACCATTAAGAAAGTGCTAGGTACAGGAAACACACACCTGGAATGTAGCATCGATTCATATTAGCACTGTGGCACTCTCTGATCTGTGCAGGAGTAAAGGAAGAGCTGGTCTTGGGAGACCAGAAAACCATTTCTATACTTTGCTCCCAGTATTTATATGGGGGCTTATTTAATAGACAACCAGCAGTAACCATCTACCTCTTCATCCCAAATCATAAGACTTTCTTACTAGACCCCAACTAACCTAGAATACAAGTCCCAAATGACACCACAATGGGAAGGATCTGCCTGGTCATGGTAAGGCCCCATGACCCTGAGTCCTCAACAAGTGATATGATGGTTTCAGTTGCTATAAGGTGGAGAAAAKCTCAAGGCTACAGGTACCGTATACCTCACATAGTCAGTTCATGGTGCAGGGCATGGCCAGAAGCCACAGGTRTGGATTTCTATTCAAGCTGGAATGCAATCCAAAGGCTGAAGTAGATTTTCAGTTCTGGAAGCCTCACATTTGTGTACAGAGAATCAGCATGGAGTCAGGGAGACGAGTCCGTCAGGGATTCTTACCTGGTGATGGAACAGCACCTCTTCTTCCAACTGTACCCCACAGAATTCACATGGGATGATGACACTATCTTCCACAGGGGGTGAATTGCTCAGACCCATCAAAGAGTCTAACTGGTTACTTGTAGCCTGCTGCAGAAAGTTCTGGAAGATGACATCAGGATCTTCCACCCCCCTGGAAGAAGAGCTTCCAGTATTGAGCGAAGGTAAGGCACGCGAAGGGTTACAGCTTGTCTGTCATTTAAAAAACATAGGTTAAAATWAAAAAATCAGAGGCTAAGGGAAAAAACTACATTCCTAAAACATTTTCTACAAGAAGTCACAACATTTTGATAGCACTTAATAGTGAGGAGAAGGACTAATAAAAATAATAGGGGAATGCAGGTGGAACATTCACTTTACTTTTAAATATTTCTGTTGTTTTTTCCTGCTGTGTTCATGTGATTATTCTTTTTAAATTAAAAGTTTCAAGATTCTTCCCATTGCCATATAGTAAAAGTATGACCCAAATATTCCTTAGCATCCTCATCAATAAATTGTCTTTCACTGCTCCCAAACCAAAACCCATAAGTATTCAAATACTGTTCTCTCCATTTAGGAGGAAGGCATGCTCTGTCAACCAGAACACAGGGACTATTTAGCAGTCTTGAAAATGCCAGACCAAGGTACACCAAATCAGACGAAGGAGTGTTGAGAGAAAAGGTGGTTCCTTCTAATCAGTAATTCTCAAACACATAGTACTGCTCTCTAATCATTCCTAAATGGCTCAAAAACCATCAATCATTCAAAAAATATCTGAGTTCTTTCATACACAAAGTTTTGAGAGATTCTTAGAAACTAGGAGAACTCAGAAGGTGCCTAAAGGAACTTGGCAAAGTGGTACCACCAACCAGGAATCAAAAAGATCATATCACAGGATGATAGGCTATTAGAAAAGTAGGCAACAAGGGAGCTGGGGTTGTGGCTCAGTGGTACAGCACTTGCCTAGCATGTGTGAGGCATTGGGTTCGATTCTCAGCACCACACAGAAATAAGTGAACAAAATAAAGGCCCACCCAACATCTAAAAAAAAAAAAAATTAAAAAAAGAAAAGTAGGCACAGATTCTCAGGGCACACACACGTATAACTCCTGACCTAGTCTTCAGAGTGTCCATCAGGCTAGTTTCCTAACAGTCATGGCTGAATCAAATCTGCAAATACAGAGTCTACATTGTTGGGTATACTGAGGAGGTTAAGGGCATAAGGGCACATGCCTTCCAGGAAGAGAAAGTAATAGGCAGAAAGGATCGTCAAGCCTTTCATAGAACTGAAAGGACTTCAATAAAGCTCCAATAAATCAAAATATAGCACGAAATGAAACTGGATCAAAAAATGGCCAACAGAAATATATATACCAGTCACCACCATAWGGAGAGTGTGCTGGTTGGGACGAGACTGTTGGATCTGCTGGAATGAGGATTACGGTTTCTAACCCACATTAGTCATTCCACAGTAGRAAAAAAAGTTGCCACTCTTACAATAGGCACTGTATTGAAAGTTTCCTCAAGACTTCATGGGGCTCACATTTCCCCTCACAGTTCTCAAGTAGTTCCCAACACACCTGATGGTCAATCAGCAGATCCTCTGGGTAGAGCTCCTCACAAAATTCACAAGGCAACATGGTCTCATCAGCTGCACCTAGGTATCAGGCCACATGGTCAGACTCAAAAGGAACAAAAACAAACTTGATTTCAACGTTTTATTCCCCTTGTGACATTTTATTTAAAAGTCTGACTTCAGTCTGGGATACAGCTCAGTGACAGAGCACCCTTGAGTTTAATCCCCACATACATACTTAAAAGCCAACGGGGGTGGGGGGTGGGAGGAGGCTGGGGTTGTAGCTCAGCAATGGAGCACTTGCTTAGCATGTGCAGGGCCCTGGGTTCGATCCTCAGCACCACATAAAAGTAAATAAATAAAAAAAGGTATTGTGTACAACTACAACTAAAAAATAAATATTAAAAAAAATAAAATAAAAAGAGCCAACAGGAACAATAGCAAAAAATATACCTTAGTATTAATATTTTCAAACAGAAGAAAAAAAGTCTATTTAACATATTTAAAGATATATTAAAAAGGGAGCTATTGTGCAGGGTGCTGTGGTGCACGCCTGTAATCCCAGCTTTGAGTACAGTGCAGAATAAGCAAACCTACCCTTCATGTCACTCAGAGAACTGGGCCCACCATGCGACTGATCTGCCTCACAAACTGCCCTCCAGAAGTCCTGTTCTGCCACAGTGGAGGCCKGGCCCTCATTTTGCAGACTTAGGGCCAACATGAAGTCCAGGTTTGCACTATCTTCACCACCCTCTTTGGGAGGCTGACGGCTTCTATTCCTTTCCTGCCTTTCTTGTTCTTCAACTAGAAAAAAAAAACAGCCAGTACTCAAGACAAATTAGAGATGTTGCCATCCCTACACTCAAGTCCCTACCTAGCAAAGGGCCAAAGTTTAAAGCCATTTGGCCAACTCCACCAGTACTCCTGGCCCTCATGGGTCTCTGAACTGTAAGTCTGACACGAAACAAGGATCCATTATTATTCTAAATGTATTATTAAAAGAAATGTTACTGTGTCATAACTATGACAGGCACTGTACTAAACTTTTTTTGTATTACAGCAGTATGATTTAAAGTAGGGGTCATACTGCCTGAATTTAAATCTCAGCTATACAATTTACCTACCCTCATTCCTTTAATGAGAATTAAATGAATATATGCAAAACACTCTGCTTGGGCTGGGGATAYAGCTCAGTTGGTAGAGTGCTTTGCCTCTCATGTACAAGGCTCTGGGTTCAATTCCCTGCACCACACAAAAAAAAGTTTGAGGTATGTTAGCTACTTACAGCATTGACATTATCATCACCATCATCAACTCTAACTGCAAACCAGTAAGGAAGAGCTTCTATTATTTATTTATTTATTGGCTGGGGGGGGGGATGGGACAAGGAATCAAATGCAGGGGTGCTCTACAACTGAGCTACATATCCAGCCCCATTTTCTAATTTTTAATTGAGAGGGTCTCATTAAGGTACCAAGTTTGGTCTTGAACTTATGAACTTTTTGCCTCAGCCTCCCAAGTAGCTAGGATTACAGGCATGTAACCACCTAACCTGACCTTTTATTTCCATTTTATAGGAAAGTTAGGTATTTTTCCCAGTGTTAACCAACTATAATCAGATTTCTCTAATCAAGATCTATTTGGCCCCAAAGCCCTGTTCCCATTTGCTCTGGAATTTTCATAATGTTCCAGTTTTCTAATTCCAAGCACAACTCACATAGATTATTCTGAATTGGAAAGGGAGCTGTCATATTCCTTTGGTTGGCAGTCCTAYTGTGGAAAAGGTCTGATTCAAAGGCTCTCAGAGGCCTTCGGGGTAGCCTCATTGGTGGGTCCAGAGCTTCAATCTGTCTCAGGAGCTGGGATGCAATCCAGATTCCATCTTGACCCCAGGACTCATCATATGCATTAGGAGATACAGTAACTTCATTTCTCCTTTCCTCCTCCCCTCTCCCACAAACTTCAGGGTGAGACTTCAGGTCTTTCACAAGGACATTGCGTCCACAGTTGCCACACAGCTCTGTCCGGGCACCACAGTAATCTTCATGTTCCTTCAGTTTGAGAACAGAGAGTTCCAAATCACAGTGCTGGCAGACAGCAAGCCGCAGAGGGCATTCAGTCTCCTGCAACAGAGTAATAAGGCAGTTAATATGCACACCTAGGAGAGGCTGTTTTATTACAGGGCAAAGAAAGCAAAAATACATACTTTGATATCCTCTTCTGGACTGGATAGATGTAGCTCAGCATGCATAAGGTCCTAGGTTCAATCCCCAGCACAACAAAGAAAAATAATTTTTTTCTTCCAACCCTAGCTTTCTATGTATTTGATTATCACAGTTTCCCCTTTTATTCCTGCCACAGGTTCTACAAAAGGAAAGAACCTCTGAAAAGGAATCTACTAAGCAACCCCAAATATAGCATCATTCTGTGCACACATAACAAAGTTAAACAAAATCATTCATTGTTCAAAAGCAAAAAAAAAGAAGCAAAGCAACTCAGATATTTTACCAAAGCTCCACCAATTTCCCCTTATTATTACAATTCAATCTAAAGTATTTAGTAATGAGGAAGACTGTGCTTTAGAAAAACACTGATTTTTAAATCTTCACATTTGTATTTGCATTGGCTTTACCTGGACCAAATCCTCCAGGAATCACCAATGACCCCCAGAGTATAAACATACTCAATAGTTGAAAAATAAAACCTTTACATTTAATGGTAAAGTCTCACTAAAGCAATAAAAACATTACAATGATACAATGGGAGTTGGGGATGTAGCTGAGTAAAGAACTTGCCTAGATGGGCCTGTAGCTCAGTGGCAGAGCACTTACTTGCCTAGCATGTGTGAGGCACTGGGTTCAATCCTTAGCACCACATAAAAATGAAACAAATAAAGGCATGCTGTCCATCTTCAATTACAAAAAAAAATAACTAAAAATAAAATAAAAATTAACTTGCCTAGAAGGCACAAGGCCATGAATTCAAGTTCCAGTACCAAAAAAAAAAAAAAATTCACATATTTTACAACCACTATATAAAAGAGCACAATTTCTTTTCAACCAAATTAAACTCAAGTTATGTTCTAGATTCTACACCAGACGTTTTTAGAGATAATTTTTACATATATTCTTTCATGCCTTTAAAATTATATTCCATGTGTTTGTTCAAGTGCCTGGATTCAATCTCCAGCACCAAAAAAAAAAAAAAAAAAACATTGTTTTTCATGTAGCTATAATGTCTCATTCAGAATTTGTGTGTGTGTGTGTATGTGAGTGGTACTGGGGATTGAAC